AGGAACTAACTTACAACACTAATAACAAGGGATATGTTTGGTCTAGCCTTGTTCATGGGCCTTGAACTGGCCCGAACCGGAATCGAACCGCCGGTTCTGGTTCTTGAAAAATATGAATCGGGATCAGAACCTTGAAGGCCGTCCGGTTCCGATTATGGTTCATGCCGGTTCACGGTTCTGGTTCCTAGTTCATTAACGGTTCGTTTCCCGGTTCGTTCACGGTTTGGTTCCCGGTTCATTCACGGTTCGGTTCGATTTCGGTTCATCCGTAGTTCAATTCGGTTCCAATTTGATTTTACCAAAAAAAATTATTTATTAACTTATAAATCATTTGAAATTTTTTAAATAATCTATTTTCTAATTATTTAAACTATTACATACAATTAGGGGTGTGCAAATCACAATTTTGGTTTGATTTTTGATAATTTGGTTTGGTTTTTTGATTTTTTGATTTTAATACTTTAAAATAAATTATTTATTTAATTTTTTATTATCAAATATGTATATATGTGCATGTATATGTATGTGTGTATGTGTGTGTATTTGTATATACATACATACATACATGTATGTATATATTCATGTGTGTGTGTGTGTGTGTATCCATATAAACATAAAATATATATGTATGCGTGTACACGTACACATTTATATGGGTATATATAAACCATAATATTGATTTGGTTTTTGATAATTGGGTTTGATTTTTTGGTTTTTTAGTTTTAATACTTTAGAAACCATCAATCTAATTTAATTATAAATCAAACCAAACTAAACTTAAAATTTCAGTATACGTATGTATATATATTTGTATATATATATACATAACATATATATATTCGTGTATATGTATATATATAAACATATATATATTCATAAAAATATAGAAATATGTATGTGTTTGTGTGTGTATGTATGCATACATACATAAATATACATACATATACATATTTACATGTGTGTTTGTGTGTATATATGTATATATTTATATATAATATAAATATATGTACATGTATATATATTTATATTTATATGAGTGGATAAAATTTATACATGTGTGTATATATATAAGTATGTATGTATGTGTGTGTGTTTGTATACACACACATATATATTCATATAAATATATGTACGTGTGTGTGTGTGTGTGGTATTTTTTTTATGAAACAAAAATATTTTTAAAATTTTGATTTTTGTTTTAGAATGGTTTAGTTTGGTTTTTAAACCAAACCAAACCATAATTTTGAATTATTTTTTAAATCCAAATCAAACCAAACTAAATTTAAAAAAACTAAGCCAAATTTTAAAATTAGTTTGGTTAATTGGTTTGGTTTTGCACACCCCTATGTACAATGTATTTCATTTTAACTTTAAATAAAAAAATAAAAAAAATTAAATAATAAAAATTAAACTTTTAAAATACTAAATATTTCACGATTCATCACGGTTCCGGTTCACGTTTCACAGTTTATTACTAGTTCCAGTTCACGTTTCATAGTTTACGATTCATTCACGGTTCTGGTTCACGATTCGTACACGGTTCCGGTTCACGTTTCACGTACGGTTCACTCACGGTTCCGGTTCCCAATTCGTTCACGGTTCTAGTCGTTCCAGTTCATGTTCAAAAAAATGTGAACCTTAATCGGACCGCGAACCTTCACGGTTCAGAGTCGGACCGAACCGAATATTGCCGGTCCGGTCCGGTCCGCCGTTTTTTCCCGATCCGGGCCGGGCCGGTTCATGGTTTGAACCTGAATCGTGAATAGGGCTAGTCTGGTCTAGTTATAGTGCAACAGTTTAATTTTTTCATCAATCTTTCATATCAACTGAGTTTGAGTAAAGCCCCCCCTCATCTAGTAAAAGTTTGACATTCGGATTCATAGAAGTATCAACTAGTTTCAAATCAAGCATTTCAATCTCTTCTAATATGTTAAGGGCATACTTCCTTTGAGAGATAGAAATATCTATTTTTCATTGGACTACTTCGATCCTAAGGAAATATTGCAATTTTTTCAAATCCTTAGTTTGAAGTGGAGAAACAAGTATTGTTTGAGATTTTTGATACTTTCTTGATTATCACTTGTAATAACAATATCATCTCCCAGTAATATGAACTGCATCACACCTCAAAATTTTAATAGTGCATTAGCATGTGTCAAAAGGGGACGAGTTATTTCAATGACATGGTAATATTTTCTTTTAGTTATACCATTTTGTTGAGGTGTACGAGAACAACTAGATTGATGAATCATGCTATGAAATGTTATAAAAGAATTGAAAGATGCAAAAAAATATTATTTTGCATTATCATTTCGTAAAATGCAAATAGTGTGTTCAAATTAAGTTTAAATTTCATTACAAAAATTTTGAAAATGGTAAACAACTTTGAGCGATATTTCATTAAAAATATTCAAAGTACACATCGAAAAAATCATTAATAAAAGTAATAAAGTATCTATACCCTAATATAAAGCTGACGTGACTAGGACCTTAGACATTAGAATGAATTATAGAAAAAGGAGATTCTGCTTGATTATTGACCTTACTTGAGAAGGATACTCGAATATGTTAAGTTGACATGACTCACACTCTAAGAGCTGTAAATGAAAGAGATGGAAGACCATCTTTTTTTAACTTAGTAAGACTTAGATGATCCAAATGACAATGGAGAAGATCAGGTGATTCAGTGATAGCACATATAGTTGGAGATGGAGGCTAGAGATAATAGAATTCATGTGATTCAAATCTTATGCCAATCGTTTATCTCGTACTCCTGTCTTGTATAAAAAAAAAGTCGACAGTGAAGGTTATGAAGTAGTTAAGGATATGGGTGAGTTGACTAATAAAAATTAAATTAAAAGGACAATTGGATTTAAATAAAATAGAATTCAAAGACAAAGATGGAAGAGGATGAGCTTGACCAATGCCAGTGGTTTTAACCTTAAAACCATTAGTGATGTGGTGTCTTAAAGATGATATAATTTTGAAAAAAGAGAAGTATTACCAACTATCTAATCAGAAGCAATAGAATCCAAAATCCAGGGTCCAATAGATGAAGAATGAGAGAGGTAAACCATAGAATTACCAGTATGAGCTGCAGTGATTAAAGATGATGCTTGTTGGACTACTTTAAGTTGAAGATACTCTTTATAATCATTGTCTAATAAAAGATTTTGGTGATCAACCGCCAACCCTCCATTCCTCTCAACTCTAGATGACAGAGACTATGTCATATTAGCAGATTTTTCTAGAAAACATGGAAAGAATAGCACCAGTCTTGAGTATGGTCCAAGCGTTTGCAATAAGAACATTTAGGATGACCACTAGCACAATGTCCACCTTTGCCACCACGACCACGTCCTCATCCTCTATGTTTAATTGCATTAGGGACAAAGGTTGAGGATTGTAAACTTGTTTGGAGACTAATTCCAGTTGTTGCTTCCGAAGGAGGAATTCAAAACAAATGATCAATAAGGTCCTTTGTTGTAGGAACATTAAGATTTGTTAGGACTTGAATCCTAACAGATTCAAAATCTTTATAAAGACTGTGAAGAATAAACACCATATACATTTGGTCAAGTTTTTCTAACACCTTTGGAAGGTTATCTCCAGTCAGTCTCAACTTGATTTCTTCAATGGTAGATTATGCTTTGTTCAAATATGAGGGTAGTCATGATCTATCATTTGGAGTGTTGCTAAGTTGCAGACAGAGTCATACATATGTTGTATATCATTAGAATAGATACTGTTAGCTTTCTTCCAAACGTCATAGCATGTTTTATAGGGGGGCAGAAGTGTACCAACAGCTTTGGATCAATGGATTGCCATAATAAAGAAACTAATTAATAATCAGCCCTTTTCTATTCGTCCTATTTTGCTTTTGGTAATATTGTCGGCCTTTTTGGTTAGATAGTTGAAGAGTTCCTATCCTGAAAACCATATATCAATAGCAACATACCAATCTAAGTAGTTCTTACCATTGAGTTTTTCTGATGTTATAGTTGGACTGCCTGAGAAGACGAAGGAGATGAGTCCCTTTTTCAAACATTTAGAAGTGATGAAGGAAGAATCAGGTGTGGAGGTCATGAGGAGTGGAAGGGATTTGATTAGAGTGAACCAAACTGAACCAGAGTGAATTGGTTGATGTGAGCTGAACTGGTCTAAATCGGGTTGAACCTGCCGGTCTTTGATGTACTGGAATAAGTTAAATCGGGTAACAGTTGGATCTGTTCTTCTTTAACCCTGTTTGGCAATTATTGAAGGCCAGGCTTCGTCGACTTTGAGCAATGGCAGGCAACATCATTGAGTAGCGATGTTGTCAAGGAGCGATATTCAGATCCAAATCTGAGAGAGATATGAGCGATAGTCTTCAAGAACCTGGAAGGACGAGAACTAGTGAGAGTTGCTAGAGACGAACCAAAGATGAACAAACGTGAAACGAGCCAGACAGTATGAAGAGTCAAGGAACGTGGGTTGATGATTGCTAACGAGTTTGGAAGAGCCAAGAACGAAGGCTGATGAACTTGGATCTCTAACAAACAGTTTCGAATGAAACGACCTTCGTTTAGAAACTAGAGGTATGATGCAAGAACTAGAGGGCCTCCAACGAACTTGGGGGATGATCTTCTAGCGAACTTGTTTGAGACGGCCTTTGCCTTCTGAGTTGCCAATATAAACCCTAACCTACTTCTAGTGCTGGTTATAGTAACCATAAACCCTAATGCTATTTTATATTTTAAACTAGCTCTGGTACTAAGTTGAAAATACTGATTGTATTTGATTACACATGATGATTCAATGCTCAAGAGACGTATATATATACAACTCTTACATCCATCAAATAGAAGAAATCAAATCTCTTAAAATTATGTGTAATCTCCTAATGTCACACATAATCTACACAATTTCTATACATAGAAAATGTATATCCACACAATGTCAACATTGACAATATAGAGATTAATTCTACTTTTGGGATGAATATAATTTTAGAAAAAATTATGGGTTTTGAAAATTTATTCCTGCAGCCCATGGATCTGGATGTTCTCAGTCATTTTCATTTTCCTCAATGCATACGGTAAGTCCCTTGATCACTCTGGATATTAATTAAAAGCATAATATTATAGATTGATGAAACTAACTGAAACTAATTATTGGTAAATACAGTATTTCACAACTATTTCTGGCTTCCCTTCATTCCATTAGTGGTAAGCAACCTAACTTAAAGGGTAATGCATCTTATAGCTGCAATTATAGAAAATTTAAAGGCTAATTTTATCTTTTTTATTTTATTTATTTTTTAAATTGCAGTTGCTATTGATAATTGGGACAAATCTCCAAAGTATCATAACGAGGATGTGCTTAGATACCCATAACAAATCTCATGTTGTTAGAGGAACTTTGCTCATTAGGCCAAGCGATCACTTCTTCTGGTTTGGGAAACCTGAGGTGCTTCTACATCTTATGCACTTTATCTTGTTTCAGGTGATTCATCCCTGTCCTTTTCTTTTATTGATTTAATGCAGCTCGAATTTTTTGTTTGCATTGTATGGAAGTTCTTGATTTTACACCTTAGAAAGTTTCCTTACCATAGCCAGTGTTTGGCTAGGAGGAAAAGAACATGAAATCTGCAAAATTATCACTGGATTTGACAGCAATTCTTTTGGTCTCTCTAAACATAGCAATTTAATTTTTTGCAGAACTCGTTTCAATTGGCATTCTTCACATGGACTTGGGTAAGCATCTGATCAAGGACTAGATTTTTGTACACACAAAGAAGTCCACTGCTAATGCCTCTTCTATTTTCAAACAGTTCAAATTCGGTTTAAGGACTTGCTTCCACCGCGAAACAGAGGACATTGTGATAAAGCTTGTAATGGGATTGTTGGTTCACATCCTCTGCGGCTATGTAACGCTCCCTCTCTATGCCCTGGTCACTCAGGTAAACAAACAGATTCATGCTCGGTTGAGATGAAAATACTAACATAGAATTGAGTTATCATTGGGATGAATCAAAACCTTGTCTAACTAGCTAAGCTCATGGTTAGAGGAAAAAATCTGCATGATTAAAAAGTAATGGGATTTGTGACAGATGGAACGTCAATGAAGAAAATTGTGTTCTCTGAGGAGTGGCCGAAGGCCTCAAAAGATGGCGAGCCAAGGCAAGGAAGAATTTAGCCCTGAGGAGCAACTACGAGCCAGGCCTCTCATTGGATGCTTCTGTTACTTCACTTGACACTTCACCATCCTTCAACAACGTCGAAGCCTCTTTCTCGGTAGAGCTTGACAGGTCCATTGATGGTGTCTTGGTTGCAGCTCAGGTAGAGGATGAAGACAGTTTTGCAGGACAAAGAACAGAACAAAAGTCGGGGTCTTTTGACTTTAGCGGAACACCAGATTTTTTTACTCTGTTCATGGGTTACTTTTAGTCTTTTCTGATCATTTTCCCCTCCCACTTACATATAGAAGGAGAGCATTTCAGAGGAGCATGTTGGGATCTGAGTCTCTGAGTTTTAGTAGATGTTTGTGGCATTAGACAGAGAGAATGTATAGTCTGTGTTAATCTTGGGTAAAATAGCAAATTATTAGTATATTTTTCATTCAAGTTATCAAATCAAGATACCATCTGATCATAACTTCCCTGGAATTGTTTCAACTTGGAAGCTGCCAAATCATTTTTTAACTTTTATGTTTTCTCTTTATTATAAAAATTATGGAGTTAAATTATGAAATAACACGATATTGTTTTAAGTTACCGCATCATATTTTTTTACAACTAAATAATGTGGGAAGATATTTAATTATTAGATTGTATTATTATTATTATTATTGGTGTATAAATATACTCATAAATGAATCGTATCTTAAATAATTAGGATTAAAATTATGAGAGAGAGAGAGAGAAAGATAGAGTGTTTAGATTGCATCCCATCACACCCCAGATGTAGCCAGGTAAGGTGAAAAACGAGTTACTTGTAACTCTACGTATTCTTATGCATCCAAAATCCCAACGTGAAAATTTGTTGGTTTTGAATTCAAACGGTCCTTTCCTCTGTAATATCAACCATGGCATTGTTTTGGTTTGAGACCTGTTGGCCACATTTTTAGTATGGGAATGTGCCAAACAAATCCTACAAAATTTTCATACAGAGAATAGGAAGCTTCTCTCTTAATAAGCTTTTCCTCCTTGGTTCGGCAGCGCGCGAGAGACGTTTTCCCGCTGGAACTTTTGCTCACGTCATTCCTGACATTTCAACAAGCACGTGCACCTCATGCTTTGCGTGTGCATATAATGCCACTGGAATGATGCCACGTTTCTCTCTTCTGTGGCACTTTATGTAGTGTTTTATATGCACAACAGTGGTGTTACGTTTGATAACATTAAAAACTGAGTACCCAAAATTTAAAATATTAAATTCTTTAAATTTAAAATTTTAAGTTAGGTGTAACATAACAGTGAATGAAAATACAAATTATACATTTATAATCAAATTCAGTATTGACAATGATGAGTGAAATGTCTTAATTACTTAAAATTCAACCTAATTTTCGGTTAATTTTTAATTTAAGTGATCAAAAGTTGAATTTTATTTTACTTCAATATAAAATATTTGGATGCATTCCATTTTAAATGCTTAATTGGGTTATCAAATAAGATTTAAAAATATTTTAAAATTTGTAGTATTTGTGTGTAGATAATATATATATATATAGAGAAGAGAGAGAGAGAGAGAGAGAGAGAGAGAGAGAGAGGAAGGAGGAGGAGGAGGAGGCATGCTTTCTTTGTTTGTTTACACACACACCCTAAATCAATTAAGAAGTGATTCATGAATCATGACGATAATTTTCTTTAAAATTTTCCTTTTTTAGAATCAGATCCTTGGTGAATAGAATATTGCCCATCTTGAAATCATTGTTTAATTATTACAATAGAGAGCATTACAAATTGGTTTTATCAACCAGCCCTTTTCTCAAGTGAGAATAGAAGAATGAGCGGCTCATCATTTTTGACTTAAATGCTTAACTTTTGATTCACAATCACACCTCAACTTTGGAAGGCAGCTTAAGGTGGGTCCAAACGTCCCAAAATCGTGTAACTCGATGGAGCTTTTCTCATGGAGTTTCTTTCTATCAATCAACCAGTTTAAATAAGACTTTATTGTTTCGGGTCACTGTCCAAGATGACCAATTCTTCTCCTTACTCTGGGGACTTGAATATAGGCATGATTCTAAAAATTATTTTGTCCTGTTAAATTTTTTAATCTATCATATTTATTCTTTTGAACCTTTTACTGTACCATTTGCTTTTTATAATTAACACGGTTAAATTAACTATTATATCTGTTCAATAGACTTTTCCAATTTTAAATACTAATTTTTTTAAATAACCCTTTAAAATAGTTAACTATTAAAATTTTAAAATTTTAAGTTATTATTTATAATTATTATTAAATTATTTAATTTTAAATATTAAATTAAAATATAGCTAAATTTTATGAAACTAATTTAAATTATTTGCATAATCTAACTAAATAAAAATTTGCCAATTGGAAATAATATTTATATTTAACATAAATTATTCAAGATCTGTAAGTTGAAACTTAACCATTAAACTAGCCTAGACAAATTGTAATTGTTACATGAAAATTAAATGGTCAAGTGAAGAAGGTAAAAAGATTATAAATAATTGTGATTTTTATCTTTTATTTAACGACATTAGTTTCAAGAAAATAAATTCTACGTTGTATAGTTCAAAAAGTTAAGTAGAATAGAGGTAAAAGTTTAAAAGAATAAAATAAATTTTGCCCTAAACAGAGAAAACCCTTGATTACTTTCTCATGTTTCATATATTTGGTTTTAATTAATTTTTCTAAAAACTATTCTTACTTTTGCTTTTTTTACCATTTCTTGTTGGACTAGAAGTAAAAGCGTGTATGGATGCATGCTAGCACACAAAGCTTTTATAAAAAGCCAAGGAAAGATGGGAAAGAAGAAGTTGAAATTAGATTAACTTCACATGGCCTTCCAGAAGTAAAAAAGAGCTGTTAAGCAAGAATTTTTGGGGAAAGCAGTAAGAGATAGGAAATTAATGGTAAAGAAAAGAATATTCCTAGCCTTCTCTTGCTTCCCTACTCCCTCTATGTTTCATATTTGTATCCATTAACTCTTTTGAAATTAAGAATTGAGAGATTGAAAACCTTCCACCTCTTTATTGCGTACCAAAATGTAGAAAATTGGGAATGGGATGCTCTCCATGTTATATCTACGAGTTTGTTTAAGAATTCCGCACCCTTTTATTTTTTTTATTTTTTGGATTGGTTAAATTTATACTTTCATTTTGTTAATTCAAACTTTCTGATTATTTTCACAAAACTGTTTTGTAAAACAGAAAAAAATGGGGAAAAAAATGGCAAGTTAAAAACTAGTGAAAGAGGTTAAATAGCATCATTACTCTTTTGTAGGACTGGATTAGATTCGAAGTGGATTATAGTGAATTTGAATCTGAATTCGATAATAGTATGTTATATTTAAATTTGATATGAATATTTATGAATATGTGTTTAATATTATCATATCCAAATCAAGATAAAATTCGATATCCAAAATAATAGTTCAAATCTAAATTCTTGAATCATTATACTTGTATTATTTTTACAATTTCAAAATAGACTTGAAAACTAAAATAAGAAATTCTTAAAAAAAAGACATATGAACTAATAAATAATTTTGGAAATGAAAATTATTAATATAATATGATTATATTTGATCCACAACGAATATTGTATTTAAGACTAATTTGGTGTCCGTGATGGATCTAGAATTTATGTATAGACAGAGCGAGGAGTATAAAAGATGGTATATACATTTTTTATATTTTTTGTCCTCATACATAATCCTCAAATAAGACTATCTTTTTGTTAATTTCAAATACCTCTCACTTTTATTTTTTAAATTTAACTATTTAGAAAATATCCTTAAAATATTATGTATAAATTAACTAATCTCGCAAAATTAGAAATTTAATAAAACTTACGAATATTAAAGTATAACAATAATAGAAATATTGAGAATTGTAAAAGATATAGCTTTATACATTTCACCAAAAAATTATAAATTAAAATATTACTTATTATTTTATGATTAGAAAAATTAAAATTAATAGTTAGTTAGAATTATCTTAATTTTACTTTTGATATATTCACTTTAATGATAATAGAAAAGAATAAATACAAAATTAGAAAGATAGACAAACAGATTTACACGGATGTAGGAGAATTGTTACTATTTTAATGTAATTATTTTATAATTTTACATTTTAATCTTTATAAATTTTTAAAATTATCATTAAACATTTTAGTCCTTTATTATAAACTTTTAGTTGCTACTCTTGATTTTTTTTATTTTTTAATTTTATCTCTGAATTTTTAACTTATTTATACAAGACATTCTCTTAAGCAAAGGTGAAAATTTTTCTTTTGAGAGGAGAGAAAAATTAGATTTATATATTAATTATATTAAATTGGTACAAATTTTTTAAAATGAATGGGGCAGGCCTACAGCTCCCCCTTCAATGTACATGAATCCGTCTCTGTTTGTTGGTAATATACAACAATAAAATGTGATATATTAATACATATATTTTTCATTTCATTTTTTATAAAAATAAAAAATGTTTCTAAATCTTATTTTTAAAAAATTTAATTTCTTAATTAAGACTTCATAAATTGAATTTATATTGTAACATATATAATATTATTTTATATATTATATATATTATATGTATATAATATAGATATGTGTGTGTACATATAAAATTAAGTAAAATTTATATTCACTTTATTTATTTTAAATTATAATCTTTTTAATCAGATTGTATTTATTAAATCTTTTATTAGTTAATAATATTAAATAATTAAATCAAATACAAAGTTAAATTCAAATTAAAATCTACTTTATTATCATCTCTCACTCTTTTGAGTGTAATAGATTTATGATGAATGATTATATACTTATATTTTTTAGATAATTATAAATAATTTTTTTGTTTATAATTTATTATTATAAATATTTGTTTTATTAAATTATTTGAAAATGAAATCTGAAGGTCAAAGTTGATTAGTACTGCCGTATGAGACCAAACAAGAATTAACCCAATTACCTATATAGGAAATGGCAAACCTTGTCTTCCTTGGCTAATTTGAACCCAGACAAAGACATGTGGATGACGTACTAGTTGATTAGATTGCTCATCCTTTGATTTTTAAACGCCACCTTTCCCAAAATTAAACCAATTTTATATCTATATAAAAAGCCAATTAGGAGAGAAAATTAACAAAAAAAGTGCCAAGGCTCCAATTTTGACTTTTAAGGTACTCGAGAAGTTTGTGTGCTTCATTTTATTTTATGTTAGCCTTTTGAATTTAAAATTAAATATTTAAATTCAAAAAATAATGACAAGTTTTTGTTTGCTTTTGACTTAAAATATTACAACTTCTAAATTTAGATTTCAGCTATAAAATCCTGGCTTTTGACTTTTTTTTTGGGTATATTTTGACAAATTTTAACATTTTAACATTTTAATATTTGGATTTTTAAGTCAAAATTTAAATAATTTAGAAAATTAAGATTTTGTAACCTTTGGATTTAAGTTTAAAAAAACTCTAAAAACCTAACATCTAACTTTTCCATTTTTTATTTTTATGAATTTATAAAACAAATAGATAAGTCTAAAAATTTGGAACCAAACACTTACTTTTGAGTTATTTGATTGGCTAAGCCAAAAGTAAGAATTGCGCAACTTTTAATATGTAAAAGCGTTCTAAACTCGGGCTTTTGAGTTTTTTGATGTTATAGATTTAAAGGACAAATTGTTCTGAATTTTTAGAATTATACAACTGGCTATTAATTAAGCAAATAAAAAATTATTAGAATATTATAATTTTTAAATGTAAATTTAATATCTTTAAAATCCTAGTTTCTGACTTACATGTATGTGTGTATACATAGGTTAAAAGAGAAAATTAAATTTTTAATTTATATATTTATCTTTTTAAATGTACAAAATAAAAGAAAAAAGAGTTAAAATTCATAATTTATATTCTGATTTTTTATTTTTAAAAATTTTTGAGCTTAAAAAAAGAAGGCTTGAGGGTATAGCCAAGCATAAAAGAAACATTCTTCCTTATTTGATTTTGTCTTACTCTTTAATTATTTAAATTGCATGTGTGTCTGTATATATTCAAATTTTAATATTATTAAAAATATTTATAAAACTTATTGAAGAAATAAAAAATTATTTTTAACCCTTTTTTCCTCTCGCATTTTTAACACACACACATATAAATAAATACATATATATATATATATTCTTGTAATTTTCTCAATCTCTTATGTTGTTTTATCATTTTTTCATCCAATTTTTATAATTAAAGGAAATTGCCATTAAAAGAAAAGGAGATAGTCAATTTAATTACTAGGAGTTTAAACAGGCATGACACGTGTTTAAATCTATCCAAGCTACCTTAATTGTTTCAAAATTTATACCTGCACTTAAATTTAAATTTAAAATAGTTCCATTAAAAAAAAATATTATTATCCACTCCGGAATAGGAAAGCTTTCGGCCGCACACACGTCACCCGTTTCGTCACGCGTGGTAGATTTATAAATAAAATAAAATGTGGGCCCCAAAATGGCAGAACGGCAAATTACCTGCCGACGTCCGCAAAAACGTGTCGGATAACAACTGGATCTTGTCTCTAACTGCTGACGACATCAGTATTATCTGCCACGTTTACCGCATAATTTCCTTGTCCAGCTGCTGTATCTCATTTTTCTAATTTAATTCGTTTGGATGTTTTAATAAAAATCACCAAGCCGGTCAACCTGATTAAAATAGGTTTAAAATAATAAAATTATCTAATTGATATAATTCGTATATCCAAAACATTTTGTAATCTTTCTCTGCGAACGCCCCTTACCTGTAATCCTCTTCCCAACAAAAACCTCCCTGTTTGCAACCCTCCTCCCCCAACAAACGCCCCCCATCTGCAATCCCCTCAGCGAAGTCCCCCATTTACAACCTCTCCTGATCGGCGAACACGCCCGACCTGTAACCCCCTGGCAAACGACCCCTAGCCGATATTGCAGCCCAATGGCCCTTACCCTCGCGACTGCAACCTAGAAATCCCCTACCCCGCGACTGCAACCCCATTCACTCTCTTTGTCGTTGCACCCTAGATCTCCCCCAGGCGACTGCAACCATGAACACCGCCACTGCCTCCGCCCCTGGCATGACGATTGCAACCAATAATCCACCACCCGTGCGACTATCCCCCAAGAACCCCACACCTTTTTTTTTTTTTTTGTCTCATCGTAAAATTTTACAGTTTTATATTTATAATTTATAAATATAATTTTTTACAAATATACTTATATTTTTATAGATTTATAGTTGTAATTTTATAAAAATAAATTTATAATTTAACAAATTTATGTTTATAATTTGAGTGTAAAAAAGTATTTTAAAAATTTTGATTATATTTCATATTAATATTTTTTATTTTAAGCTTTTAGATTAATATGTTTGATGTCAACCTACCTGGTAATAAAATTTACCGGATTGACCGCCTGGATAATTTTCCCATCTTTTTAATTTGCGTGCTTAAGTCCTGAGGCCTCTTCCGTAAATTTGATGTTGAAGAAAAAAACATCCTAATATTGTAAATATATTGGAAATAAAAAGGTGAACTATTAATATATAAATTCTTCATGGGTGATAATTTAATTTTAGGGCAAATTACAGTGCCAATGAAACCATTTTTCTTCAAAAAAAATTAATTAAAGATATAAAAGTCTTATGTCCATAGTTTGACAAGTTATGAAGGTTGGATGACAGTGCTTTTAAGATGTGACGTAAGATCTTTACCAAAATTTTGAACAAAATTAAAGAGAAAAGATATTTAATATTACAGTAGCTCAAATGTCCTAATGCGCTGCATGAGAGGAACAAATATGAAATTATTTTTAAATTTGGGGTGACAAGTAGATAAATAATCGGTACCGTGCATTGAGACGTGGCCAGTGCCGGTGGATTTCAAATTCAAATCCGAGCCGTGGTCGGTGCATTCCACTTGGTTCCAAATTAATTAGAGTAAATTATATTGATGGTCCTCCAAATTATATTTAATCATTTCGGTCCCTCACTTTGAATTTTTCTGGTAATAACCCCAAGCTAATGAAATTGAATTCACGTCACCCTAGTCAAAATCTAAACAAATATATAGAAAAAAAAAATCTCCATGATTTCCACATGGTTTATTACATCAATTGTGACATGTCTACATTAATAATGGCAATGAAGAAGGGAAAATTTGATGTATATCTACCAGATAAGAATGCGGAGATGGACCAAAATAAATCTCTAATGTGATTCGACAATAAAGTCTTGGTCATCAAATGATAATTATAAACATGTTTAATATATAAGTGAAAATTTGATTTAAAATATTTTAGGTTCCTGATTATAATTCGTAAAGAACTGGAGGATCCCTGCGAGGATAGTAAATTCATGAGGACCAAGGATGCAAGAACACGAGTCCTTGTTTGGTGATAGGAAGTGGAATTAGGATCTGGGTGGGTGTTGGACGGGGATGGAGACCCAAGTCTTGGACCTATTACCATCCCTGTCATAATGTCGTTAGATAAGTGAGAAAAAATCTACCTTGTCTGTATTTAAACTATGAATAATCTCATTAATATCGATGATTAATTTAAAATTTTGAAAGTTAAGGGATGAGATTGAGAATTTGAGGAATATGATTGACACAGTTAAATATAATTTGACACGTGTAAAATAATTTGAACGTCTGATTGCCCACCTTTTATTTCACCATCAGGTTGTTGTCACACGATAGAAATTATCTACCACGTATTAATTAAAGCTTACCATATTTTGTCAAGCAGAAAAGGTCATAATTTGCCCTTAATTAAGGTAATTAGTTATTATAAATCAAAGGAAGCTCATTGTTAGTTCTCCAAAAAAAGAAAAAAAAAGAAAGTACGGCTTTGCTTACGTAATAAAAGCCGTGGCTGCAACTTGCGAGTATATTTTCGTCAAGTGGGGAGTCGCGTATCCGTCCGATCCAACGCGTGACGCAACGCCATGCCACCCACACTAGCTGTGACGTGAAAGTACGTCACCGCCGTTGACGTTAGAGACTCCCCACCCCCCACTCCTACCAAACCAAGCTTTATAATCACCCCCTTCACGTTTTTTTCCTCCCCCTGGCCTCCTATCTCTACAACTTCTCTCTCTCTCTCGGAGTATTCACATAATTTTACATAATGGCAGAGGCACTGCGATATCCTACCTGGGCTCCGCCTCCGTCCTCCTCGGCCCCCGGCGCCAACTCCGCGGCCACCTGCTGGAACGGCCCTGGCGACGGCGTTGAATCGATCAAAATTGGAACGAGCGCGAAGAAACTGGTGGCGGAGAACGCGGTGATTGTGTTCGGTCGAAGCGGGTGTTGCATGTGCCACGTGGTGAGGCGACTGCTGCTGGGGCATGGCGTCAACCCTCCGGTGGTGGAGGTGGAGGAGGCTGAGGAGGCGGCCATCGTCGACGAGCTCTCGAAGATTTCCGGCGAAGCGCTGCAGTTTCCGGCAGTGTTCGTGGGCGAAAGCATTTCGGAGGGCTGGAGAAAGTCATGGCTACTCATATTTTCCGGCGAATTAGTTCCCATATTGAAAGAGGCCGGAGCTCTGTGGCTTTGAACCATGACATCAATTGACGAGGCAGTAACGATCTGTCTCTAGAGGAATGGGTAGACAGTTTTATTTCTATTTTCTTATACTTTTTCTTCATGAAAGTTAATCCGGAATTGGGAATTCCTTTTTTTTCTGAAACAGAGGCAAACAGGGCTACAAGCCTTGTCTGATCTTTGTAATTTTGTGCTCTTAATCTTGTGATATAAGTGGTTTCGCATGTTGAATTTTGAGACTGCTAAAGACCAGTCCTCCCCCGATTCATGATTATCTCATCATCATTTTTGTTTTCTTTTTAGGGATCTAACAACGGTTAGGTAAACCAGGAGTTGGGGATTAGTCAATACACCCTATTAAAAATGTTAATTGCAATCGTGGTCCTCGTAATTTTGCAATGAAGTTTTACTTTGGTCATTTTTCATTAAATTTCAACAGTTTAACCCCCATGGTTCTTAAAATTGTGCAATCAAGCTCTTTCATCTACGATCACTAACCAGTGAATGCTAAGTAACGATTAACGTTGACGAGTATGCGCGTCTAAACCTCAATATGTAATTCACCAATGAAATTAAGGCATAATCCTTTAAAAAATTGATGATAAAACAATTGTTATACCGATTAAAAGAAGGCATTAACCTTCACGGGTCTAAATTAACCACGGTGGCGGAGATGTTGAGGTTGGGCAGATCTCCCAACTCCCTCAACATTCTGCAACTTGATTTATTACAAAATATCCTTCAAATTTTTAATTTTCAACTTAATGGAGGATTTTGTGAATAAATTAAATATTTAGAATAAAATTAAAATAAATTCAGAACTAGGAGAGCCAATTAAAAATGTAAAATAAAAGTAAAGTAATATGAGAGATTATTTTAAAATGATGGATAAATTTTGATGAGGCCAAAACGTAAAGTGCCTCCAACTGTTACATCTTCGTCAAGCCCCATGATCATCTCTCCGAAAGTTTTGAAGTCAACTAGTCGGTCTTTATCTCTAGGCCATGTGTCTGCGAGTGCTCAACCAAAACCGAAGCCTTTGTCGAGTGAAACAGGGGCCTTTTTGGGCAAAAAATGAGCTGCTTTAACTCTAACCACAATCTTCATCGACCGAGCTACGAAGGTTTCCCACACGCACTTCTTCTGCAACTCAGATATTCAAGAAAGTACTCAATTACTTTGCCCACGAAATCGATCACATTAACGAGCTTGGAGTGACGTCATACCATATTTCAGATAACTTGGAGTGACGTCACGCCATGTCGAATGCCCCCATTGCCCTTGGGGTCTTCTTGGCAATGCACCACCGGTTAAATGTGAAAATACAACAAAGTTTCGGCTGCTGTAAATGTCCCTATTCCCTCTTTGGAAGTTTACTGAAAAATGGGCATGGACAGAAGGTCTTGATCGGCATCAATTTTAAAATACAAAGGAGTAAATTGTACTGAACAAAAGGTGAAAGGCTAATTTCATGGGCTACTCCACACCAAAAAGTTAATTTAATAAAGTGTGCAACACTTATATTTATAAGTTTAGGACCTTCTTTTTGTTGTTTGATGTGAAATTATCCTGTGATATTTTTTTTCACTCAATCTTGTGACGTTCTCGTCGCAGATAAAGCCCCTTATCTCAAGTCTTGGTGAGATTTTGGAGTTGGGTCCGACTTGCCTCTAATATCACCTATCAAAGTCATTACTCTCTCCTAAAAACTTAACCTAGTAAGGTGTGCAAAGGCATTTCTCTTTCTATTTGATGCAGGATTGTCTCCGTGATACTAAAATGAAACTTTGAAAGAACTAAGTATTGTGAATAAAATTAACAGAACATAAATTTGATTGGCTTGAAATTTTGAGAGCATTATAATAAGAAAATAAAAGGGTGTTGCAGAGTCATGCAAAGGAAAAGTCAGGACAAGTTCATAGAAGTGTCCGTAAGGAGCAAGCACTTTTGATGTAATTTCACTTGACTTTCTAGATTTTAGGGTTGATTTTGTACGTCACCTAAAAATAAAATGGCAAAGTTTCTTTATTTATTTATTTTTATAATATGCCGCAATAATGAATGTTCTTGTAAACTTCCGCATATGATGCAATCGGTGACAATGTTTTTCTTTTTAATATAAATTTTACTTATTATATCTAACTTTTTTCTAGAGTAAATTGCAGTTTTAGTCCCCATAATTTTATTATAATTCCTTTTTAATTAGCCTCAAGAGTTTCCGTTGGCAAGTATTTAGTTTCAATATATGAAGCCGTGTTATTCATTTTTTATACAAGAAAACAATAACTCTATAGATAGAAAAAAAAAAATTTAACTAAGCTATTGACCACTTGACTTTACAGACACACTTGTGCCGTTCATCCACTTGGGACAAGGTGAACGAGGAAATTGAAAAAAAAAATAGTCACGATACCCCCTTTATATTTTAGCTAATTTGGAAAAAAAATTATGATATCTCTTTATATTTTAATTAATATACACAAAATTTCTTGATACTTACACTGTATTTCATTATTTCGTGCACCGCAACCTCCCCATCCGATAAAGTTTATTTTTGAAAAAAAAGTCAAAATATCTCCTTATAATTTAGTTAGTTTGTACAAAATTCTCTCTTAATGTGATTATTAAAATAAAATATATTGTACTTCAATATACTACTATTTGTTTTAGATAAAAATAGTTATAAATTCTACATTTTTATAATTTGATTAAAAGTTAAAAATAATCATTTGATTATAAATATTATCCTTTATTGTATGATTTATTTTTTCACAATAAACTTAATTTTTTAATGTCAAGAGTTGAATGTTTCCAATTATTATTTTTATATTTCTTTCTCTTTTTTCTTTTTGTTAAATGTATATTTTTTTTTCTTAAAAACTTTTTAATAATATTTTTATAGTGATTGTTTGTTTCTTCAAAATAAAACCAAAAAGTCTATAATTATTTTAAAAAATAAAAAATGGACAAAACTTAATGCACTTAATTTATTTTTGTTCCTAAAGTCTTTTTTTTCCACACCGTTAGTTGTGGAAAAAAATGATAAATGTTCAAAAAAATCTTAAAACACGATGATATTTGGTACAATTTTCATATTATAAGCGTGTTTTATACAATTTAAAGAAAAGATAGGGAGTTCTATACTTTTAATATGTGACAATTTAGTTATAAATAATAATATTGTACACATCATTATGTCAATTTTTTCAATAAAAAATAATAATTTTTTAATAAATAGTATCAAAAATGAATTTTAATGAACTATTCTAGTGGTGGGAGTGCCGCGAGCCCTACCTTGATAGTGTCAAGAATTATTGTTATTATTTTTATTATTGAAAAAAAGGAAAGGAATAATGTCAATATTAATTCAGCTAGCTGCACAATCACTTGTAATGATAATTATTTTATTAAGAGAAAACATATATTCGTTCTAAGTGGAAATTTTATCCGTTGACTTTCAAAACATATATTTATGAAAATAAATATTGTTTAATTATGTTTACTATTTGGGATACCAGATTTGTTATATATTATTTTGCATGTGGATGGGCGGTGACGCTAACCATGCAAAAGACATAAATCCTAGGTTAAAAAAATACCCATCTCTTTCTATATTTGCATAAATAACACTTAATTTCATTTTTATTATAAAAAAATATTTTTTTTTTTTAATTAACTATTAATTAATGGTTATTTAACGGTTTTATTAAAAGATATAAAAATAACCCAATTTTACACATTTTGATTTTTCATTTTTCATATAATTAAAAATTAAAATATTATTTTATTCACTTATTTTATTTTATTAAATTAATTATTTTTATTATTTTAAAAAAATTAATTTTTGATAATTTAATTTTATTATTTTTAATTATTAAATAATTTTTATTTATTATATTTTATTTTTACTTTAAATGTTAAAATAAGAATGAATAAACATCATTTAAGTTAAAAGAAATGGGTTGCCCATAATTTAAACTAAAAAATTAAATAAAATTAAAATATCATAAAATAAGAATTTAAAAATAATAAAATTATGTTATCAAAAGGTTGTTTTTTATTTTTTAAAATTTTAATTTAAAAATTAAAAATTTAAATTTTTAAATAAAGTAAATAATATTTAAAATTTTAATTAGATAGGTAACCAAGTCGTTAAGTAATTGTTAGTTAACAATTAGTCAAATAGAAAAAATATTTTTTATAAAAAAAATGAGACTGAATATCATTCAAGTAAATCTAAAGAAAATGGTGTGTTTTTAATCCTAAATTATATTATTTTTATCATATTTATAATTTTCATATTTTCAGAATAATAGGCTTTATTTTCTTATTCTGGCAACTTTAGGATTGGGAAAAAGGCGCATGGGAGGAGTAGTATGGTTGGATTTTGTTTCTTTTTTTTTTTTTTTTGACAAGTCCATGTTAAAGCTTCTTGTTTGTCAAAAGAAAGGGCATTTGGTGTAAAAGTGGTTTTGAATTCTTAATTTTTTGTATTGAACATAAAATTTCAGATCTTTCTAATGTTTGATTTATTTTAAAAAAATGATTTTTTTTTGTTATTTCAAAATTTTTATGTGCAAATCAAAAAAAATTACGTAATTTTTAAAAAGTCCAAAAAATTAATAAAATTAACTTTCCATTTTCTTAAATTTTCTTGAGTATCTAACTTTTTCTATACTAAAATTAAACAACCCAAAAAATAAAATCCCAAAACCTAAGGACTAACATTTTTTAGTGAATCAAACATTCCCTATCTTAGGGTGCTTGTAACAGTTTCTTAAAATTGATTTTGTCGCTTGTCAATACTTAAAAGTATTTCTGGAATATTGAAAATTCGTTTATAACTTCTATTTCTTTTTATTTAATTAAAAAAAGGTAAAATTAGAAAGTAATTTTAAAAATAGGAAAGAGAGTACTTCTACTGTAAGTGATATTATTATAATTAAGTAAATTTTATTTTTTAAATATTTTTATTCTTGAAACTTTTCTGAAATCCAAATTTACTTGTGCCTTTTTCATGAAAAAAATTGGAAATTAATTTTTTTTAAATTTAAATCCAAAATTACATATGAGTTATATTTTAAACACATATTTAATTATTTCTTTCCCATTTTAAAACATAGTTAGCAACTTTTACTTTTTGTCAACTTATATCTACTTCTACTTTAAACTTTAACTTGTAATTTTATAAAAACATTTTCAAACATCACATAAATTGTTGTTGAAGAAATGTTGTCTTCATGAGAGGAGAGTCCATTTTTGTTTTCTCGCTCACAGTCGTGAGAGACAGCTGAGTCTATTTTGTTCACTTGTTCACTGTGTCTCCCACTTTCCTTGTCACGGTAATTGTTGAAGATTTGAACGCGTACGGTTTAACCATACAAGCTAACGAAGCGTGTTAATCTGCCTAATGATGGCCACCAATCTGATTTGATCAACCTACTCGATGCCAACGACCACCGCCCCTAGCGGCAGGTTTGGGAAATTGTCAATTAGGCAAGTGCGATTTTGTTTTCTCTTTTTGCTTTTGGGTTTCTTGTATTGATGTCTATTAGTCAATCTAAACTGTTGGTCACTGGAAAAGATTGAATGGTGACCTGAGATGATGCGTGCAGTGGCCAAACCCTTTAACTGTGTGATATTTTGTTTTAATTTATACGAAAGTTAACAATAACTTTCCATCCAAACTTCCTAGCAATTTCAGGGGTAAACCTCACAGCGTGTTCTCAAATTTACTCTCTTGTTATTAGAAACTGATTTTGGGTATGTGTTGGTAATGGTAGAAGAAGTCGGCAAGTGAATGAAAAGTGAGGTAATTAGAATATGTAACTATGAAAGTTAATGAAACGCTCGATGTGTTCTTTTTTTTAATTCTTCTAATCATTTTTTATTAACCAATTTGTTCTTATTAATTTTCATGTGTGAGATTTAATTGATTAGAAAATCGTCAAAAATTGGCCAAAAAGTATTTTGTGAGATTATATCAAAATTTATATTAAACTTGAAGGAAAGGCGTGTCACATTTTTAATATGAAAAATTAATGTAATACTTAATTTTAATTCAAGGAACTAATAATAAAATTTACTCTAATTGCCGATTAAGCGAGGGTGCGCAGTGGGATGGTCTGGGTTGGGCTGGGCTTGGCAAATATAAAAGGCCCAGAGATTTTCAATCTCTCAAGTTGACGTCAGATATCCGAAAGTACAAAAAGTTGGAGCGTGCGAGTTGACATCCGGCCTGGAAGTGTTAAATGGGTCGGATCCTGACACAATCTATAAAACTAAAGTTGACCCGAACCTATTATAAACCTTTGAAGAAAATACAAAACTCGATTGAGACTCAACACTCATTGACGCACCCATTGTTTTTATTTTTTATTTTATATTTAGTTATGGCATAAGATGGTTTAAATTAATAAATAAATTTTATTATATTTGTAATTTTTTTTATTCGAATATGAATTTATGACTCTAAATTTAAATTAGTTAAATTATAATCGGATATAATGCATTGACAGACCTTGGATTTAGTCATTTATGCTAGAGCTTGGATTCGTCACTCCACTATCATATGAAATGTTAAAAATGCAATATTTGCTATAAAAGAAATTTTATTTGATAAATTTATTATTATTATAACCCATTAATATCTAATTATCCTTACCCAGAAAATATGTACTATTCACGGAAGAGGAAAGCCTCTTAGTGTGATATCATTAATTTTAATTATTAAATGAAATAAAAAAGTATTAATTTACTTTTTATATAAATACACTATGTAAATTTAGGGACAAAGAAACTCAACATGCGTATAATTGGAGTTGTTTGTAAATGCGAGAGAGAAACTAGGGGCTTGACGTGATTGAAAGAAGAAGGGGGACTGAACTGCTTCTACAAGGACAGGTTAAGAGCACGGACCAAGGGAGGAGGAATCGATCATCTTTCCAAGAAAGTCATTGAATAAAAAAAGAGTTAAGAAAAGTAAAATATAATTTACCCTGACACGTGGAAATTTACCATTTTGTTTTAACTGTAGGTCTACGACAAAAAAAAAAATAAAAAAAAATCAAAGATTGCAGAGAGGCAACCGACACGATTTGAAAATAAATTGGTCAGCGGTCAGCGGTAGGACACCGCAATAAGGTCGGCCACGCACCGTGTTTAGTCTTGAAGCTTGGGCATCCTGGAGTTCAGATTCTAATATATAAATATTATTTTTTATACACTAAAAATATGAGAGAATAAACTGGACAAAATTTAAATTATTTATGTATTTTATAACAATTCGAATCTATTTCTAAATATTTTATCCGGTAACAACTTCACTCCAAGAGAGAGTGGCGGGGTGGTAAATATGGGAAAGGCTTGGGGCAATAATTTTTCTTTTTAATTATACGAGGAGCGCAAAATGTTGAAATGAGAAAAATACAACAATTAGGGTTCGAATTTGAACTATTAAGACTTAATAATCAAGGTCTTTGACACTTAATATCAATGGATATAGATTGAATTTTTTTTATATCAGATTGTGAATGAACTGAATTTTAATTTAAATTTAATTTAAATTCGATCTAAATTTTAGAATTTAAATTTAATTAAAATATTTGATAAATCATATTTGATTCAAATGTTCGTAATCTGAAATTAGTGGATCGGATATAAAATTAAGTAATTTGATCAATTAAAGATTTAAACATAAATTTTAATGATTTATTTTATTAAATTAATAATTTTATATACAGAATATTAATAATTCAAAGTTGTAAAAATTATATTGAGAAAATCAAAAAATTCAAGGATCGATATAATTGATAGAATATAGTTGAGATATTTAAATATAAAAATAATTTTTTTTAATCAGAACATATTTTTTTATTAAATTTTAGATTATTTATTAAATTTAAATATAATTTAACATATATAAATATTATAAAATTTTGAATCAAATTCAAATATAAAAATAGTTAATCAAATTTTAATTTATAAATTTAATTAATTTAATCAGAATTTGAACATTTTACATCTAGATGGACTGATTTGGGTTTGGCATTTACATCTAGACGGAATGGTTTGGGTTTGGCATGAGCTCTTTTGGGCTTGTTTTATCGTACTTGCCATGTATTTCTCAGAATACCAAGAAGATATTTTAACCTTATATTAATAGTACGTCGCATTCATTCTCCGAATCCATGCCTTTGACATTTTGATTCATTACTGTGTCTGCTTAGATGAGCGCTTGGTTTCTGAGTACGTGTTTCTTCACGAGGCAAAAGATAAATAAATAAATTAATATGGCCCAAGCTTTAATGTTAGGTGGTGATTAACACAAAGCGTTGGAAAACAAGTGCGCAGGTGCATGTGCAAAATCAAGGACGGTGCCATTCCAACTACTCTGTTTGCTTGTCCCCAAAAAGTGATCACCCACCTCGGGTCAAACCTTATCAAAAACCACGTCTGTAGATCAATCACGCTTTTTCACTTTTGACCTTTTTCTTTCTTTGCATGGTAACATGTTCATCCATTCAGTTTGGGAAAACTTAACGACAATCCAGCCCCATCCTTACAATAATATATGCATGTCCAAACATGGCCTTATCCCTCTAGCTTCCACAAAGCCACATAAGCATTTCAACTCCGAGCAATTTGTAAGGCCCACCCAATTTCTCACCAAGCTTTCCTAGCAAAGTACTTTGGTCTTATCTACTTTTCTTTCGGCCTCATTTTAACCTTCATTTAAATTTTCATTAAGATACAAAATTATTACACTTATTCCCCGTAATTTTTAACTTGATATGACATTTTTAACCATCAGTGAGAGGTCTGTAGATTGAACATATGACTATTTCATTAGTGTCTTAATAAGAATTTAGATAAGAAACTAAAAAGGGACTCCAATAATTAGTTTTTTTAAATAGAAGGACTAAAGTAAAAATAAAGAAACAAGTGTAATTTAGCAGCAACGAAGCTGATGTTTGATAAATATAAACCATCATCACCGCTCATGACGTATTAAAAGGAAAGGGTGTGCAGCATTATCCAAGACTTGCTATAGTTGATATATCCCTATACACGTCTCCTCCGACCTAATTACCTTCTGGAAATTTAATTAACTTCCCCAACATGATTCAATTATCACTGAATTGAAGAGTTCATCAAGATATTGATGGAGCAAAGAAATCTCGACCGTCCGGCTTGTCAAATTGCCCTGATCACCAGCAATCAGGCAGGCGAAAAGCTCCCTGTCCAAGTGCTGCTTGGAGTCGTGAAGCAAGCCAGAGCTCCCAACTTCATCACAAGAGGTTGAAAGTGAGGGGATGGAAGAATGGTTGTTGTTGTAAGCTGTGTTGAAGGAGATCAACACGTCGTGAGCCTTGTGCAACTCATGCTTGAGCCTTACAACCTCTCTCCCAAGCCTCTCATTTTCCTCCAACACACTCTCGAGCCTCACCTGTACTTGGACATAGCAATTTAAGTCGTGACACGTTAACACTGAAAAACATGTCTGACAAGAATTCGAATTATTTATAATGTTTTCAGTTGAACACGAACAACAAACCTTACCTGGAGGGCCTTGTAGTCCACCTCAAGGCTTTGGTTCTTCCACCGTGCGCGCTTGTTCTGGTACCACACAGCAACCTGCCTCGGAGGAAGCCCTAGCTCCTGGGCAAGCTGGGACTTTCGGTCTGGATCGAGCTTCTTGTTGAAGCTGAAGCTTGTCTCCAGGAGCCTAATCTGGTCTTGGGTGAGCCTCTTCTTGTTGCACTTGAGTTGGGTTTTTCTGGCGTGGGATTGAAAGCTATCCATTCTTGCATTTTTGGCAGGAGTGCTAATTAATTATAAGGGACTAACTACTATCCGGAAACTTAAATAGAGGACTCGATCAAAAGCTTATATTATTGAGGGGCCAGAAAGGGTAAGGGATGGGGCTACAAGTCATTTTCATCCATGCACATGTCCATCACGTGGTCACGGCCCCGCTGTGACGACGTGAGAAACCAGGGCTAATAATTGGATTAGACGGTTATTAACATGAGGTTTATTAATTATAGGTTATAGCTTGTAGCCATGGACAAAGCTTTACACTGGTTTGGCTTGCACCCTTTTCTCTGTGTGAAGTTGTAATTAGGCAATTCTGCTTACGTAAAACCTTAATGGTCTAAATTACTTATAAGTTGAGTAAGTTGACATTAATCTCTACCAGGGGTTGAAGCATAAACTAAGAGATTTCATCAATCCTTAATCTTTTTTTTCTTTTTTATTTGGTTACCATAGGGCTAAAAGCTAGGAAAAACAACAAAATGCATTAAATCATCGCGGGAGTTGAGACTCGTTTGATATCATGATGCAGGAGATCTCTTGGGGAGGGGAGGGGAGAGTCCAATCTTTCGCTCCAAACTCATAAAAAAGATTAATTTTATCTTTGTCTAATAGATTTGAGGTTTTGTTTGATTGCATGATTTATTTTTAACATGGACGTTTTTGTCCATGAACAAACAATAGGGTTTTTTTTGGCACCCATCCCTGATTTTTTTTTTTTATCCTAAAAATTGTAGGGACATTTGGAAAGTCTAGAAGTACAGGGATTATGAATTCTAAAATCCTAAATCAGTACTTTTTTAAAAAAATTAATCTCTAACAATTTTTTATAAACTTCTAAAAATTTTCTTAACAAATAATCCAAAATTTGAAATGAAGAAATAGGAATTTCAGTAATAACCAGTAAATGATTGAAAGAGCAAGACTTGTCAGAAATCTGGGCTTCTCCAGAATCCTTAAAAGCGCTTCTGAAGAAACCAAACAACCTAATTTGGGCTTTTTTAAGGTTAAAAGCCCTCTCCACCGTGAGTGCCAAACAATGTCTACTCAGAGATAAAGAACCCAGGGGGACAGGCAGCGTGCAAACGCAAGCAAAATCCGTGACAAGAAAGTATGAAAAGATCCAAAAGGGCATCTAACAACGGGCCATTCAAACTTTAAACTGAGTTGAAGATCAGGTGAGTTCGAGCTCACAGGATCTTCATAAAATGCCAAACTCGATCATCTCTCCTCTCGCTCCTGACAGTGGGATTCTCTATCAGTGTTTGGTTGCACGGTGGGACTGGAATCCGTTACCAATTCCCAGCCAAGTCAGCTAAAATGACATAACAACTACTGGTGTTTAGTACCCAGACAATTCAGCAATCAACTTGTCAATCCAAAACACTGTTTCTACGTCTTGACCGATTCTGCTCACAGGACGGTGTCGTTGGGAGGGGAATCAGTATTCCCCACCGTGGGTGCATGCTTTGCTTTACAATTCTTTTCATTTATGGCAGAAACTAAAAATATCATTAATTGTTCTTTTTTCTTTTTTAAAATATATACATATGGATATATATATATATATATATATCCAATTTGACATATTGTTTTGAAAAAGTATTTTTAGGAGATTTTCTAAAAAACTAATTCATTTTGAAAAACAATGAAGATTGCTTCTGTTAGAAAATTAAATTGAGTTTTGCACGTAAACTGATATGATCTAATCCATTTTTAACACGCGAATAAAGAAAAGTAGCAATTTCACATTTCAAATAAGAAGACTTTCAATAACCCATTCCCATGTATAAACCTACATATACCATACATGGACATACACAAGAGACCACTTGAACTTTACATTTATGTTATGATATATGTAAAGAGAGGGATCAATTAATACTAGTGTAAGTGTAAAAAACTTACACCGTTGATTTGATCAAAATTAACAGATGAGATTAATTACAGCTGTTTTCTAATAACTTCTAATAATTAATTACAACTGTTTTCTAATAATTTTCAATAATTAATTTGTAATTAATTAATCTCACATGTTAATTTTAACCAAATTAGCAGTGTAAGATTTGGTGTAAATCTTTTATATTTACACTCAGTGTCAATTGGTCACTTCTCATATATAAATTATTTTATTACAAGTATTTTTAAACTATAAAAAATAAGTCACTAAATTTTGAATTCAAGATGTGTGCATACATATTAAAAATTATAGGCACATTCTTCAGTTTCTATAAAATTCTGGTAAACGATTTTTGTTTAAAAATAAAAATGAAATGAAAACAAAAGCATTTTTGAGATTCATATTGTTTACTATTTTTTAAAACAAAATAGAATGGAAAACAGATAACAAATACAATCCCAAACAGACCACATTCTAAACAGACACTACAGAAAAATTAAACATTTTCAGTTCTTGCCACAAGCAAGGAGAATCCCTGTCAGCTTGAATCGGCCGCCGGGGGTCCACTTCGAGCTGCCTACGCCGGATCAGCACCTCGAGTCACCTCTAAAACTCCAAACCTGCACACTTTGGCTGGCAGTTTCAAAGTGCATTGAATTGAATATTCTAGATGATGTATGCATAAATTTATGTTATATTTTCTGTCCGGCCCCCAACTTGGCTATATTTTGAAGGTTTGTGTGAATTTGGATTCCGTGTAGTTAATGCTAATGGTTTCTTTATCTCATCTTTGCCTTGGCTGACCCGATGGATTGATTGAGAAGTAGGTGAGGGGGCCTATTTCACCCTCCAACCGTATAGATTATTACATCAGGCTAGGATCGGGAACGGCAACAGTCACAATTTGTTCTGCACTTTTGGATTAATGACGACGGGTAGGATGCCTTTGTTCTGCACTTTCAGATTATTAATAAAAATGGGTTGAACGAATAAGCACGCATTTGGTTGCGGAGCTCCCGTCGGAACTTCTGTCCCACTGGGGGCTCTCCCACTCCCTTTCTCTTACTCCCTTTTTTTCCTTTCCCTTCTTTCCTTCTTCTTCTCTTCCTTCTGGTGCAGATTTTTAGGAGAACTCTTAATTTTTTTTCTCCCCCTTCCTTCATCCTGCTTCCCTTCCTTTTTTACTCTTCTTTCCTTCTCCGTTAGAAATCAGTTTTCAGGAATCAATTTTTCAAAATAAGCCGGTTCCAATAACTGATTTTTTTTATAAAAATTGGCTTTACAAGAATGATTTCTTTACTAAAACAAAATTAAACTATCTTTGTAAATAAATTTAAAAAATAAAAAAATTAATATTAATATAAATTTGTTTGCTTTTGTTCTGCGCTTTTAGATTAATAATAAAAATGGGTAGAATGGAAAAAACATGCATTTGGTTTAAAAATATATTTATTTTTTTTTAATTATGAAAAAAAAATTCGCTTTTGTAATGTTTGGTCTGTTGAAAAAAGTTGGTTTTTTTTTTTTTGCTTGAATATTCAAAAAAATCATATGCAAATATAAAAATGAAAAACAGATATTTTAAATCATTTTTTCCCTCGAAGTATGCCCTCGAGTATTGAAAGAAAAATTAAAAAAATAGAAAAAACCCCAAAATAGAACCTTAAATAACTAGTAAAACTAGATTATTCCAAAGAGCCCCTTAATCATCTTCTAGTCAGAGTTAGCAATTTCATAATCCCAAAATTGTGTATTCTACTTATATATATATATATATATATATGTATGTATGTATGTATAAATTGATTAAGTGGGGGCCGAAATAGCACAATATTTAGAGCATCATATTTTTGGACAATAAACAAAAGGTGATTAAAAGGAACCAAATTAAACATAATTAATTGGTCGAGTGGTCTCAAAATGTAATTATGATATTAAGGAGGATTAAGAATTCCCTAGTCAGCCTCTTAGAACCCTTTTTGAGAAATTATCTAAATATAGTACTCTTCAAAATTTTTGACAAAGTTACAAATAACTTATTTATATTATTTCAATTATTCAACAGTACTGAAAATAATATATAACAACAACATATAATTCTAATATTTATGGACAATTTTATATAATCACAATTTTGTCACAGGATTTATCTGAGAGTTAATAGAATGACTTTAAATTATAACTTTATACGTAAATATGGGAGATTTGAAGTGACAAAACATTAAGATAAACACATGACTTGTTGCTGGTCCACACCATAAAACAAAATGAATAGTATACACCTTTGTTAATAATAAGAATTATTCTATGTATGGCAATAATTGCCTTGTTAATGGGTTTATCTTTACGACAATTTAAAAGATTGTCATTATTTTTTTTTTTACAGAGAATTGGCAAAATTATTTTTTTTTTTTACAAAACTCTTTTATATCCAAACTTTTAAATAAACATTTATTATTCCTAAACTTTTCAAAAATTCTCTCTAATCAAACATAAAATACATACAAGTAACAAATAAAATTATACAAATAGGTATGAATGATGTTATGCAAGCCAATTCCGACTTGTATTGTTACAAGTTCAGTTGCATGGACCATAACCTTAAATTTCCTATTGGTTAATTAAATGTTTTTGTTGTGTCATTTTTCCAAATACTTAAATTAATGGGTTAAAAAACCATTTTTAGTCTTGAACTTTTGATAAAGAATTCTGTTTGCCCTAAATTTAAAAATTTTTCAATCAAGGACCTGAACTCTATCAAGTTTATTCAATTCAGGACTTCTGTCAAGATGGTGGATGGATTTGCTGATGTGGCATTTAAATCATTTTCTATTCCATGTGACAACTATCATGGATGAAAATGAAATATATATATATATATATATATACACACACACACACACATATGTATAAAGAAGCAATCTATTTTATTGATTTTCCCATTTGCTATGGACAATTTGATCCTCTCCCCTTGATGGATGATAGTCCCATCCCTATCCGTAGGGAGAGCTACACAGGGATGAGGGTGGGCACATACAATCTCTTAAAATTTTGTAAATCAGGTTTTATACTATAAATTTATTATAAAATGTCTCTCCATTTTTTAAAATTTTACATCTACTGGAGAATCATTTAATAATTAATAATTAATTTAAAATAAATTTAGAGTTAAGTGATTTAATTAAAAGTTTGAAATAAAAGAAAATTTTTATTAAGTGACTATTTTAAAATGAAGAACGAAAATTCAGTGACCAAAATGTAAAATTTTCAATAACTAAAATGGCAACAATCTCTGCAATGGCAAAAGTCAAAATGGAGAGAGATTATGTGATAAACTTTGCGCCCACTATCTTTAAAATCTTGATTTTGTCACTCTCACTAACCCTGTACACCACTGGCATTAGCTCCCCTCCACATATCTCCTCTATCATAAGCTCCCCTCCTCCATCTCCTCTTTAAGTCTCCTCTAACATTAGCTCCCCTCCATCTCCTCTATATATCCATTGATGAACTTAATTTTTAAGTCTTTATTTTTATCGTCGTAATTGCGAACACTAGATAATAAATTAACTCAATCAATCTTTAACTAAGGAGTCCCGCAAGGCATTCCTTGAGAGCTTCCCCGTTTCTTTCAGCATCAACAAATTCCTACCTTCCAACATCATCCCCTCCTTCCCCATCCCCCTATTGCTGGACCGGGTTTTCAAAATTCTAACAATTGCTTCGTGCAATTAAGTTATCAAGCCACGAAAGCAAAAAATTATAAACAAATTTAACACTTCTGAGGAAGATCACGGCATGACTAAACCCAATCAACGTTTTTTTTGCTAAAAACATAGATTGTTAAGGAAGGAAACGAAGAGAAAGGAGAAGGATGGGTGGAAGGGTGTGGGGAAGGGGTTGCTGGCTTGAGAAGAAAAGTGAGAGTGGGGAGGGCTTAGAAGGGAAAGGGAATATGAGGCAATTTTGGAAAATGATACCGATGAAGATGTAATTATGAACAGGCATCTTTAAATTTTTTAGGATTATTTTATTATATAAATCAGTAATTATTATAACAAAATTTATGAAATATTCAATTGTAAGATGTAGAAGTGTTCAATAAATCAAATCAAATTATATAAATTGATTAAAAAATTATGGTCTAATTTGCTTTGGTTTACAAAAAGATTTTTTTTACACAGTTTGGTTTGAAGTTTGACTACAAAACAAATTATATAAACTAAATCGAATTATATAATTTATATGTATGTATGTGTGTGTATATAAAAATAAAAACTCTATTTTTATATGTATAGTTTATCTTTATTATTTGACTGCGTATTTCTATTTATATTTTCTTTTATATTTATACTTTCTCTAATAGCTGAGTTTTTTTTTAAAGAATAATTTCCATTTGTATAAATTTAAATTCTATTATCATATATCAATATATTTGTTATATAATAAATAACTGTCATGATTAATTGATAAATGATAAATTTATTAAATTAAATAGGTTAAAGAAAAACCTTTGAATATTTAAATACTAGGAAAACACTATCAAAATTTTTATAAAAATAGTAAATTTAAATAATTTTATTTTTGTAAACCACAAATCATGATTTAAAATCAAATACAATTATAAATTATGATTTAATTTAATTTTTATATATTATAAATTAAAAATATATTTTACAATTGAATATTAAATCAAACTGAACTATAAAAACAATATTGGCGAGAAAAGTGATGCATCAACTTTTTTATTCACTACCTTTAATAATATACATCTTAGATCAAAACAATTCTATAAAATTTATGTCCTTAATTGAAAAATTTTTGAAGTGAAGGATCAAATTGCACATTAGACCTAAATTGAGATGGTAGAAGTGGCTTTAATCCCAATTTATTGCATAAAATTTAAATAAATTCTGCCATCTTTAAAAATTGAAGTGCGTCCATCCCACTCGGCATTCTTTGTTTTCTCTATTCATTATGCTAAATGTTTTGAAACCTGAAACAGACCGGACGGTTCAGTAAGAAAAACCGTGAATCTGTCAGCAAAATTGTCTTTAATCAACTCTCAATTTTTACTGAAACATGATCCAGCCAAGAATGTACAGTTTTTTTTTTTTTTTTTTTTGGACAAATCGCGGTTCAACTAGAAAACCGGTTTTCTCTTGCTAAGCTAACATGCCGCTGCCCTAATTTTTGGCGACTGCTTCAGCCTCTTTCCCGCAACCGACAAAAAGCCCAAAAACCTTGTTATCCCCACTATCCACTGGCCTGCTGAGATTTCGCTTGAAGCCTTCACTGTTCGCCGAAACGCACCAGACATCCGACGACGCGGCATGGTATTTGTCTCTCTTAACATATAGTACTGATATTGCAGCTACACTCCTCGAAGCCTTCTTCTGACTACCACTCTTTTATGTTTCTTTACTGATGTATTTCCAGAGGACCGTGTCTCTCTTTGAATTATCTATTGGACAGCTCTAATGGAGATTGCCCACCATCTTCACAGGAGTACTTCTTTCTTCTTCAGAAATTTCGCCCCCAATTTGCCTCAGTTCCAGCCTATAATGGTAAATTTCTAATTTCTTTCCTACACGATAATTAAATTTAGTTTACAAATATGTCTACATATGCACATTTAAAACCGTGTCTAACTCAGTGAATTAAATTTGGCATTAAGGAATAATCACTAAGACTAGAATATTAGATATTGCTCTTCGTGCTGTGGAAATGCAATGTAAACCCAGTGTCCATCCTGAAAAATCCTTCCCCTATGTCAGAAATGAAACTCAACTTCTGCCCTTTGCAAGCATTCACCATAGGCATTTGGTTAATTTCTTTTCTTTTCGTTTCTTTTTTCTTTTTACTTCTAAAAAAAAGACTGCTTATTTTTTCTTTTATTCACCATGTCACTTATTTGTTTGCTTATCCCGATTGCTTTCGAGAAAATATTATGTAGTTCATTTGGCAAAACTTGTAAGTCAGCTATTACCTTTTCGCTTTTTGGAGGGAATGAAATCTAATGGTGAAAAGCATTTGAATTATCCATTTGATATGTTTATAGCTTAAAGGCCAATAGTAGTCTACACTGGTCTTTGCCAAAGGACGGCTAAGTTAAACTAAAAAATCTTCTGCATCAATGTAGAAACAGGCATGCTGGAGCAATAAAAGCAGTGTTGTTGACATGTCGTTGGATGGTTAAGAGAGAAGATTTCTTGATTTTGTTTTCCTTTTCTTTGTTTTTTTCATGTTATTTTCTCTTTTCCATTTTTGTATATTTTCATTTTTGTGGTAATTAATGTCTTCTGGTGGGGAATTCTTGCTATAGTTTCAGAGAAAAATGTTGCAGGACTACAATTGCTATAGCTTGCAGTGTCCAACACTTTGCATTGGTGACAGATATGAAAAGTTTGCACAGATTAAATTTAGAAAGTTCAGAGTATGCTGTGCAATGAAAGCCAATCAACCACGAGTTCTCAGGCTTATATCTGAACAAAAATTTCATACTTTACCAAGCCTTCTTCATGGCTCCAGGAGGACCTTTACTAGTCAGTCACAACTTAAAGTGTGGCTTTCTGATACTCTATTGCGTTCAAATATCTTTAGTTGTGGACTGGGGCAATCTTATTTTGGTGCATATGCGAAGAGGGCCTTTTCTCATATTTCTAGACCAACAATGGTTAAAAATGATCATAGTGGTGTTAGAGATGGAAAGGTCAGTGGGAAAACTTCAGCATTCAAGCTTTTTGGAAAGCGAAGGATGCGGGCAAAGCAACTGGCTGCTCATAAGAAAAATGCTGAAGGCAGGGCGCAGGTTGCGGCCTCCAATCAGGCACTAGAACTAAATACTTCTACGTCTACTAGTTCACCTTCCAAAGGCACTGGTATAGTAAGTTCGATGGAGCAGCTAGTTGAGGATGGTGTGAACTCTGGCTTGGAAGTTGTTTCAACTTCACCTATGGGTGATAATAGCAGAGTCTCTAAAGCTAAGGGGAAAAAGAAGCAGCCATCAAGAAGCAAGAAAAGCAAAGATCCAGGCTTTGGTGATACAGAAAGAGTTGCTCCAGCAAAGGCATCCAATTCCACCAGCAAGGCGCGGTCCTCTCCAGATGTGGAGGTTGGCATCCCACTTTGCAATTTCCAGGTTTTATTTCATTGCAATATGTTAACTAACATAGCAGCTTTTTCAGAAGGATTCAACTCAACATGGTTCTGTTTCAGCAAAGCAGCAGACTGAAAGGGCAACTGCTAAATCCAATAAAAAAGGAAAATCTATAAAGGAAATTAGTTCTCTACCGAAAACTCATGCGCCACCTCAAATATCATCTGACAATGAGTTGTCAGGGAAACAAAAATCTAGTGCAACTAGCAAAAGCAAGCACCAGGAAAAAAGTAAATTGCAGTCACTGTACCCTCCTACCAAAAAATCTGTCTTGGTTGTGGAATCTGTCACAAAGGCAAAAGTTATTCAGGGCTACCTAGGTGAAATGTTTGAAGTTCTACCTAGCTATGGTCATGTGAGAGACTTGGCTGCAAGGTCCGGATCTGTGCGGCCTGATGATGACTTCAGCATGGTATGGGAAGTTCCATCGGCTGCCTGGACTCATCTTAAGAGTATCAAGGTTGCTCTTAGTGGGTATGATTTTTTTTTTTTTTTTCCTTCCTTCTGCTAGTTGAAGCTTGATCTATGTGGGTAGTGAAGTATTCTGAAAATATATATTTATTTGGTTATAGTTGATACCATCATTTTGGTTGTTGAATTAGGTTCTTTAATAGTGCTTCTTTAGCTCTGTTCTAGATGTTCTACCATATGTATTCATGATTTTACGACATTTTATGTTGGTTATCTTATTTCTTATGTTTTTGTGGGTACTTTTTTCTCACTTGCTCTACCTTGTTTATCAGAGCAGAAAATCTCATTCTTGCATCAGACCCTGATCGTGAAGGAGAGGCAATTGCTTGGCACATCATTGAGATGTTGAAGCAACAAGATGCTTTAAATGAAGACACTACTGTAGCGAGGGTCATATTTAATGAAATAACTGAGTCATCCATCAAAAGTGCCTTGCAAGCTCCGCGAGGCATTGATATAAACTTGGTTCATGCTTATCTTGCACGACGAGCCCTTGATTACCTTATTGGATTCAACATTTCACCGTTGTTATGGAGGAAATTACCTGGTTGCCAGTCAGCCGGACGGGTGCAGTCTGCTGCTCTCTCTCTTATATGTGACAGGGAGATGGAAATTGATGAATTTAAACCACAGGAATATTGGTCAGTTGAAGTTGATTTCAACAAAAGGGAACTGGGTTCTACAACTAACTTATCTATCTCATCATATTTGACTCACCTTGGTTCCAACAAATTAAATCAACTGTCAATTAGTTCTTCTGCAGAGGCCCAAGATATTGAACAGAAGATTAATTCATCGAACTTTAAAGTGGTTGGATGCAAGAGATCCAAAATCCGGAGAAACCCACCAGCTCCGTATATAACATCATCACTCCAGCAAGATGCAGCCAACAAACTACATTACCCAGCAACATATACAATGAAATTAGCACAGAAGCTGTATGAGGGGGTTCAATTGTCTGATGGCAAAGCAGCAGGTCTGATAACATACATCAGAACAGATGGATTGCACATTTCTGATGACGCTACAAAGGACATTCGTTCTTTGGTTATTGAGAGATATGGAGATGGTTTTGCTGCAGAGAGTTCCCGTAAATATTTTAAAAAGGTTAAGAATGCTCAAGAGGCCCATGAGGCGGTAAGACCCACTGATATTCGGAGATTACCCTCAATGCTGGTTGGAATACTTGATGAAGATTCTTTGAAGTTGTATGCTCTTATTTGGGCTCGTACAATGGCATGCCAAATGGAACCCACAACCATTGATCTAATACAACTTGATATTGGGAATGCTGATCAGTCCATTGCTCTTCGATCAACTTGCTCGATTGTTGACTTTCTTGGATATCAAGCAGTGTTTGAAGATTTGGAAACAAAGGATATAAGATCAAATGAAAATGAAGGTAATGATAGAAATGAAGCTTTCATAGTTCTTAGCAATCTGAAGTCAGGTGATTCATTATGTGTTGACAAAGTGAAGCTCAAGCAGCACCATACGCAACCTCCTCCCCGCTACTCTGAGGCCTCTTTGGTTAAAAAGCTGGAGGAGCTTGGCATTGGACGACCTTCAACATATGCATCCACGTTGAAAGTTTTACAGGACAGAAATTATGTGTGCGTTAAAAGCCGAATTTTAAACCCAGAATTTCGTGGTCGCATGGTCTCAGCATTTCTATCCCACCATTTCTCTGAGGTCACAGATTATAGTTTTACTGCTGATATGGAAACAGAGCTCGACAATGTTTCTGCTGGATTGACTGAATGGAAAGGCCTACTTAAAGATTATTGGACAAGGTTCAGCTCGTATTGTGACCGTGCTGCTAGTGTCCATATTCATCAAGTGGAGAAGATGTTGGAGAAGACGTTTGGGGATTTCTTGTTTTCTTCTCTCCCTAGCAAAAGCAGGACATGCCCAAGTTGTTCAGAAGGCACATTGATTTTCAAAGTTAGTAGGTTTGGTGCTGGTTATTTTATAGGCTGTGATCAACATCCAAAGTGCAAGTGAGTATGATTTGGCATGATTTTAGAATTTTATTTGTTTCAGTAATGATATTGCATTATTTTAAAATTATTCAACCATTTTTTTGTGCATATGTGTATGTGTGTATATATGCTATTATTTCTATTTTAAATTATGCAGTGTGCACAATAAAAAAGAGTTCATGTCTGCCTTATTCTTGTTTTCTTTTTCCTTTATTTTTTTCTCATATGTGTAGCATTTTATTTTATTTTTTTATCCTTTGGTTTTCCTAGTGCCAATTCATAACCGTTTGAAAAACTTTTGGCTTACAGGATGGCTAACAAAAATTTCGGGAAAAATATGCTAGGATTTATAAACAAATCTTTAGGATGCTAGTGACTATATAACAGCCAAAAAGATAATAAAAAACCTAGCAAAAATGTGACGAACGCCATTCATATGTTAATTCCTGGAATGGTTTAGCGGGATGTCTCTGAGGTAGACAATTGTTAAGAGTGTGTTAAATTGGTTTGGGGTAATGTAGTGAGGGGAAATTATGGGCATCCACTGAACCTTAGAAAGGCAGTACTTACCTGGTTTTGATGTTGTAATTGTCACATGTATAGTAACTTTCATGCTGTTGTATTTAGTTTTAAGGTGATAGATTGAGTATTTAGTATCAATGTGTTCATCTTGTTAAAGAAATACTTTAGTGGGATTTAAAGGTGAACCAGATTTGATTATTGTGTTTAATGGTATCTTGAGGATTGGAATATTGGTTGGGATAAGTTAGTTACCTAAAAATAAGTTGCTGAAAAAATATAATCCTTGGAATTGGCAAGATTAGTAGATTGTGCATGCAACTGAGGATAACCCTTGAAGTTGGAAGTGTGGCCATAGTGTTGGAAACTTAGACTTGTACTAAATCATTCAAAAACTGAAAATTGTAACCTGATTTGGACAAAATCTTGAAGTACAAAGATGCTCCTCATCTTTTTGTTAGTGAACTGGAACATCTTAGTAACCAAAGGAAAAGAAATCAAAAGTGATTTCCACAGCAGTGAGCGAAATAGGTGCAATTTGGATCCCTTAGAGGTCCTAATCACAGAGCATGCAAAAAATCAAAAATACATAGTTTCTCCTCTATGGGGAAAGGAGTTTTGAGAATAATTAACAAAATTTTTGTTTATTAACCTTATTACAAATGAAAAAAATAATGTATTTTTCTTTTTCATAAAAGACATTGAATTAATGAAAATGTAGGAAGGATTACAAAAAATTTGAGGCTGCATTAATTGAAGATACATGACTGAAGGAATTGTTTTATTTCCATATTTCACCTTCAACGAGCATAGATTGATTTCAACTTTTGTTATCATCAGTATTATTATTATTTTTTTATATCCCAAATTGTGTGTCTTTCTTGTGAGATTGAGAATATTACCCCAAAAAAACAATCAAATTGCATCATCTCTGTAATAGGTAAATGCATCTTTTTCTACTCAAGCTGCTGGAGTTATTTGTAATAACATACTGGCTACAATTGAAAAGGTCTTATCAATAAAATTTCCACCTATCCGCAATCAAGGTATACAATCATTTTTATAATTCTTCTTATTATCTCTTGTTGGAACTCCAGAATGTTTCAGTTTGTGCTTCTACTTGTTGTCTAGATACGCCAAGAAAGATATACATTACCTTCAACTACGTAAAATAGAATTTGATTCCCCAAACCCCCCACCCCCACAAAAAAAAAAAGGTCTTTTCTTAAGTCATTTCAAATTAAGAAGTCACAGTTAATCAAATAAATATCTCTGTATATAGTTATATATTTTTCTCACATATTTACAACCAAAAATGCACACAGAAAAATCATCCACCTGAAGTTATCAATGTGGCTTATTTGCTTGATCATTTAGTATAAATACTTTCTACTGATCTTGTTTCCTGTCCTAGTCGGGTCATAACTTCAGTATGATATGATTTTAACCTTCAATGTGAATATACTGTAGTTCTTGGATGCATAATTCAAAATTTTTTTCCAATATTGCTGGTCATAGGAAATAATTTTTAGCAAGTCTACTCTCATTTTTATGTTTCCAGCTTTTGATTATATTTATTGGTTAGTTTTCTGTTGTTGTGTTAGTCAGCATAAATGGCTTTGGTGGTTGATGTGTTTGTAGGTACATTGCTAAGACATTGTATGGTGATGATGATGATGAAGAGGATACTCCTAAAAATAACAACACTGTGGAGGAGCCAAAATTCTTAGGTTTGCATCCTTCATCAAATGAAAAGGTTTGTCCTTATTTTGAGTTAATATTTAGTTATGGGAATTAATGAATCATTATAGTCTTTAGGAGTTCGCTGTTGCTTCTTATTAATTCAGCAACTATTTTGAGATGTCAGGTTCTGTTGAAAAATGGTCCTTATGGATACTATGTGCAGCTTGGAGAGGACAGGAAGGGATACTCGCCTAAAAGAGCCTCTGTTTCTCAAGTATGAAATCCCTTATTCGCTTTCATAATGTGCTACTAGAATTGAAAGCCTTAATTCCTAGTCTGTTGCAAAAATTAACAACCTATGCATTTTATTCACAAAGAAAATAAGAATGTTTGCTTTGTTGTTACTGACTAGTAAAGGACTATATACCTGTACTTGTCTTTCTGTTTTTTTCTCTCTAAATCAATTACTATTATCAGAGCTATCTCTGGGAACAGGATGAAGTTGCATTTCTAAAGTAGCTCTTCTATCTTTATTTTTAAGAAGCATGAATGTGACATGATTGTTGTGTTGTTTAAGTGTCATTAGTACATTGTTACCTAAGGTCATCTGTATGAATCACACTAAAAAGCTCATCTAATTATAGGTATAGTGCTATGTATTTCTGCCAGGACTCCATACTGTAACTGGGAATGGCCTTGTCTATTAGGTTGGCCTTTTTTCATATAAGAATAACAATATTTCTTCGTTTGTTACTATATATGTGTTTGATATTGCATGACAAAGATACAAAACAATTTTCCACTCTCCATCTAGTGAGAAGAAGTGCAAACAGCTCTTCAATATCTTTTGTGGAGGATTCTATTCTTAAACAAATTACAAACTTCTATGTTATAGAATTCCCAAAATTAAGAGATCTATATAATAGAAAATCAATCTAGTTTTGGTGTTGGAATATTTAGCTTTTCACCAATGTTATTTTATTGAAGCTGCAATTCTGTTTCTTCAGCCTTGGATATTGGCTTCCTCCAAATGTGTCCTCAGCCTTTGTTGTCCTCAAGGTTACATCATGCCTCGGGCAGAATATAGTTTCTATTAAAATCTTTGAAGTGCATTCTCAATGGAGGGTATAGCATCTTATGAATCCTGCAAATGTATAACTTACTATACATTCATGTATAACTGCATAATGTCTAATTAATATTCAGTAGTATTATTTTCAGCGTGCCCTTGGGCAAATCCTTAAACAAGTGAAAATTCTGAAGACATTGATTGTTTTGGATTGCAGTCAATATTATAGATTATATGGATGCTTTCTTAGGTTTCTTGATGCATTAGCCTCCTGCAGATAGTGATTAACTTTGATTCTTGTCTTCATTCTCCTCCTCCCCCCCACCACGAAAAAAAAAAAAAGGAAAAACCAAAAAAAATCTATGTACCGAAATCACACACAGGCTTCAGCTCAGAACTTTTCTGTGAATTATTATGATATTTGTGTCCATGCATCTGTGGGCATTGTCTCCCCACCCTCCATCGAGGTACCTGCAAGGGGAGGATGAAAAAAGGAAAACAAATTAGAGATAAGGATTCATTGCATTCTGCCCTGCCTATACTACCTGTTGTCTATTGTAGTATTTAATTAATACATGGTTTGAATTATTTATTCCAGATAAAAGATGTTGGTTCAGTGACCCTTGAAGCTGCTATTGAGTTACTGCGTTATCCTGTGACACTGGTATGTGTTCATCTCCATTGCAGTCCCTGTTCTGGTTTGTATCATCATCAAACTCATTTTGGCTTATATTTCTTTAGGGAAACCATCCAGAGGATGGCCATCCAGTTGTATTGAAGCTAGCAAGGTTTGGATTTACTATTAGACATCGGCACACAATTGCTTCTGTACCCAAGGTATATTGCATTTTCATTAAGCATGTCTATATTAAATACTCGTGAACTTTTAATTCGATAATTCAGTTGGAGTTTTCCAATCATCATGTTATTTTTAAAATGGGGGCATTCACAGTTAATTTGGCAATTTTGCTGTAGAGTTGGCCACCTGTAGTGCTGAAGAACCATATTAATGTTAAAAAAACTCCTAATCAAAAGAGAAATATTTGGAAACTTAATATTCAAATTCTCAAATCATTAGCAGTCAATTTATTGGAGCTAAATTGTTGAATAGATGACCCAATTTTATTGTACTTTCCAAAGAAATGAATAGCCAAGTTTACCTCATAACAATTTTGGATAAGTGAAAATTTTTAATTCTAATTTCAAGATATCCTAATTTATATTCTAATTTTATCTTATGCAAAAATACATATATTCTAACAAATAAATAAAATCCCAAAAAACTAAAAAAATAATTCATTCTTCTTTGCATTCCCCATTATTCTCTCTCAATTACTGAAATGTCAATCTTGAGCTTTGAAATTCTTGAGAATCTCCAGCTCTGATGCCTTGATCTTGAAAACAAACAATAAAGTGAAGATTTTTGTCTTATGGAGCAACAAGCTCTTATGGAATAGTAGATACTATAATTTGATGCTCTTGTGAATGCTTGATGTCAACAGCTCGAGGTTCCTTTCCTCCAGCTCCATTTTGCCTTGATGCTTATACATTCTTCAAAAATCTCGCTCTTATTCTCAGCATCCTTGAATCATTGGAGTTCAGCAACATGTCTATCTCTCTTATAGGTTCTAGGAAAGTTGTATTTTTTTTACTTCCTTTTCCTCGTGCTCTTTCAAGTTCTTTTGGTTGAGCTTTTCATTGTCATCTTTGATTGGATTATCTTCAACATCAATTTTTGTTTTTTGGAGGCTTGAAATAGAATTCTCTCTCGTCTTCAATAGACTGTTTCTTATAGATATAACCTATAAAGCATGTACACTAATGTGGTGTCCGACATGAAAGAGATAAAGATTGACACGGCAATTTTGAAAAGATTAGGACATGGCTATGGCAGGGACACAGCTAAAAGTTTAAATTTTTTAATATTTATTATATTTATAAATAGAATATTCTAAAATAACCAAAAATAATACAAGTACCTAATAATCAAACTGATTCATTCATACTTAATCACTACTTGACATGAGCAATGATGGCTATAGATCTACGGCAATTATTTTATTCTTATATTACCTAATTTTATATGATATATGTTTTTACCTTCATATTCTTGCAAAAGATTAATGTTGGCTGCAACTTATTTGATTGTTTGTGTAATGGGACATAGGTATCTGAGTATAAAGCTTAGACACGTGTGTCCAAAATTAAAAATAAAAATAAGAAGTTACACTTCACATGGCATACTCATTGTGTGTCTTGGAATATCTGTGAAGTATCCATGTCTGATGCATGTCTTGCACAGATACGTTACAAAAAATGGAGCTTTCATGCTTCCTACGATATAACTATTGAGAGAGTTTCCTATTCGATTCTTCATGAAGCTGGTCTATCAAATCTTTTTAAGCTGTTCATGTTGTTTCCCAAGGGTTATTTCTGGGTAGAAATTGTCTATATAGTAGCCATTTTATGTGTATTTTTGGTCTGTTCCGATAGCCTATGTGTTGGCTTTTGAGATTTCTGACATTTCCATGTTTGTTATTCTGCTGGACTTTGCTAATTCTTGCTCCGTTTCTGTCATCTTTCCTGCATAAACTTGACTGCAGAACTTGAAGCCAAATGATATAACTCTAGAGAGAGCTTTGCGACTTTTGAATAGCAAAGACGTTAGAAGATGTGGCAGGCCCAAGAACAAACCAAGGATTGAAGAAGCTATCGAGGCCTTTTAGGCATTGTATATTGTGGCTCAGTAGCACAAGGGATTGAGATGTCTACAAATACCAACAGCAACAGTAATAAGGAAAAACAAAGCATAAATACACGATTTTGTCTACCTGATAGAAATTCCACCCCATCCTGTTGTACCCACTGCCCTTCCCTGGGTTAAGTTATCTGGTATCCCCAAGGAACTTCTGTTTTTTTGGCCATGATATTATAAATACTACTGTTATTCTTTCATCAATTTTTTCTAGAAATTTCAGCTTCTTGGGTCGCTGATTGATGGAGAACCTTTTTGCTTAAATTTTTCCTGCACATATTGTAATTATCATTATGTTGTATTGTTCCCAACGTTTTTTTTCCCCCTTTTTGTGAGTGTGTTTTTATGGGCTGGGTAACCCTGTAGCCAAGCAGCCAATAAAGGCTCAAGCCTGACTTCTTGTAGCCGAACCAAACATCTCACAAGGACTAAGTATAAATCAACTGGACTTACAAATAAAAAATCAACGCGTGAAATATATTATTACAAGAAATTGTAGAAGTGTATATATTTTTAATAGTTTGCACACAGTCGACGCAAGTTAATTGTAGTTGAATTGGCCAGAACAACTAATTCGTTGATTTTGGTCCCAATTCATGTATTGGAATTGATTTGTAAGGCGATTCAAGCACCTAAACTCAGTTGACATGTACGTTCAACCCAATAAGAGAGTCATATTAAATTCACCTTCCGATTTTAGGTTATCCTCCCGGTTAAGTTTTATTTTGGTAACCATATTCCTAAGTTTTCACAAGAAATTGAAAAAGAAAAAGGAAAAAGAAAGAGCTCTAACCTAGTTTGGAGTAGATCAGTTTAATGCCAACTTCCATCACAATGGGGATACCGTGTCACCCTTGCTCCTGTCCCTTGGGAACCAGCCAAATCAATGGAATCATACAACAGACAGGTGGAATTTGACTAAGTTTACTCTCTAGCTAGTTTTATAGCGTTGAAAATGGATGACAAGAAAAGGGACACAAGGACAGGGAGGATCTATAATTTGCATAGCTTCAATCCCAACTGTCCAAACAGCGGACATCAATCTTTTTAAGTTGATCAAATCAATTTGGCCCGTGGATCACCTTTTGGTAAACAGAACAACCTTGGAACTTCCAGTCCTCGCTTTGTTTAACGTGAGATTTTGACTAAGAAAGTTCGTAATTTTATTTACCTTAGTTTAATATTTAAATTTAAATAAGTTATATTTCATAGTTTAAAATTCTTAAAAATTAAATTAAATCATAATTGATTTGGTATTAAACTATTATTTATAATTTAAAAAATAGAATAAATTAAATCCTTTACTTTTATATAAATTTTAACAAAATTTTTCTAAAAATTAGATATTCATTTTTTAATATGTTTAACTCAATAAATTTATTATTTATTAATTAACTATAATAGTTATATATATTATGTAACAAATATATTTATTTAATATAACACAATTTTACTTATATTCATAAAAGTCATATTATAAGAAATAAAAACAATCAATTATTAAAATAAATATACATATAAAAGATAATAAAAGAAGAAATATGCAATCCAATAACAAAAATAAACTATATATAAAAAGATATAAATTTTAATTTGATATATATATATATATATACTATATAATTTATTTTAACTTATACAGTTGATTAAAGGACAATTATTAAATCAAACTCTAAAAAAAATCATTTTCTAAATCCAACTAAACTAAATTACAAATTCATTAATTTAAACGATTTCATTTAATTTGTTACGTACCTCTAATTTTGACCAAAATATTTGGGAGGAGACCACAAGATATTGTAAATTACGTAACAATGTTATCCAAACAGGGAAATGTTGATTTGCTCCAATTTATATGTAGTTCACTGGCAGCGTTTGCACTCACTCTTGACTCTTCATTAGTTGGACCAATTAAATAATAAATATCCACGTGGCCCCACAAGATCTTGGGCCAAATCAAAATCTAGGGCTCCCATTGGTCAAACGTCACCTCGTCGGAGCCCCCTCGACACCAAGTCGGACCCTCTCCGGTCCGGTCCCCTCACGTATCGAGATCTTTCAACCTTTTGGTCAATTTGGCTCGCTCTGCCCGTCTTCTCCATGCAAAAATTCTCTTGGATTTAACATATTTTAATTCATTATAGTCCTGTTCTAAAGTTTTTCTACTTAAATTTTTTTTAATTTAAACTTTTAAGCTTGTTAGTTTAAATATTAAAATATGTTAATTAAAAAATCCATGACATATAATTTTAAGAAGTTAACCATAAACCTTAATATATTTAGCATCTTACCAAAAATCTTAGCTTTTTTTTTGAAAAAATAAATTCTTATAATTACCCTTGATTAAAATTCAAACATATAAACACATTATTGCAAAACTTTGCAATAATATTGTCTTTTTACTTGTTATATTTTTAATGAGTTTATGAATTGAAAATTTTAAAAAGTTATAAGTTGTTGTCTTATAACTTGTAAGCTTTTTTATACGTTCTAAAAATTTTAAAAAATTTACCACACGTGGCTAATCGATGAGCTCATTGATCAAAAAAATTAAAAAAAGCAAAAAGGAGAAGCTAGAAAATGACTTGTGGGTGGCATATGCTATGTTCACCATGGGCTCGTTTGAGTTTGTTCAGACAAGTAATTAAAAGGACAAGCTTCAAAATGGGATCGCTTTCAGGTTCCTTTGGATGGGGCAAATTAACCACTGCTTTGGAGGGCATGAAAACTGTTTTTGGAAATAGTTTTCTGTTTTCTAGAAGTAAAAAACCAGTTTGGCAGGTTGCTTTCCAAAACTAGCCTATCGTTAGAGAATTATGATAAAAAAATCTTTAAAATTCTCAAAACTTATATATTTTTATTCGATAATGAAAATAATAATTCTTTTAAATAGTCATAAATATCATTTTTTTGTTTTCTTAAATTTGTATATAAATTAAATATTTTACATAATTAAACAGAATAATTTATATTTTTACACGAACTGTAACATCAAGAAAAATATGAACTTTTCCTTCCATAATAAAAAATTTCAACAATTTAAAAATAGTTTTAGACGAGATTAGAAATGGCTTCAAAGAAGAGCAAGTGAAGCACAAAAGTGGCAGTGAATAGTACGTGGCAGTTCACAATTACGGAGTGACACGTGGCATTGCCAACTGGAAGTGACACGTGGCATTGCACAAGCTCCTGCGTTCTGTCTGCTGGCTCCCAGTGCTTGCGTAATCGTGGTAGCAGTGGGAGATTCCAATCCCGGTTAATGGATAATGTCCCTATAAGAATAAGCCAAGCAGGTTAACCACCAACCGCACCTCATATTTTAATAAATTAAACATATGCCCCAGTTATGGCTATTGGACAACAGTTGGAGACAATCTACGTAAGATCTCCTTTTCGGTGGCCTATGTAATCAAATGATGACAATATCACAACAATAGGGAGAAATTCTAAATTATATTTTATATATATATATATATATGAAATTTTAAATTTTAAAAATTATTTTTGTTATAAAAAATAAGATTTTCAATCTTAAATCAAAATTTTAAAATATGTTATTCTTAGTTTTAAGAGATATCAAATTTCCAATAATTAAATTTCTAGTATATTTCCTAAAATATCCTTCAAAACCAGCTGTGCAAAATTGATCATATCGCCCAACACCCCCACCCAAAAAAAAAAAAAAAAAAAAGTTATCTAAGGATATCAATTTGCCCCTCATCTAATTTGATAGGCACTTAACCCCTTAACTTTTGTATCCTTGGCAGTTTACCCATCCTTAAAATAAAATATTGGCCGAAAGAGTCAGAAGCTTTAATTTTTTCCTTTCCGGTCCTCTATTGAAAATTTTCTAAAAGAAAATGCATATAAGAAAGGATATATATATATATATATATATCAGCACCCATGCACGTAGGACCTTATCTTGAAAGAAACAAGCCCATTGTCTTATTGTAATTAAAGAATTAAGGATAAAAAGCCAGTTCACACCTCCTGCTCTGCCTGTAGTATGATTTTTTGCTATTACCACGGCATGAATATATGATGCAATTGATCGTTTACCCCTCACTGATCACCCTTTTTTTATCAAAATTTATGACCGAGGACCATTTTTAAGGAATCCAAATCTATCAAATTTAGCCCTATAGGGGATCTTAGAACATGTTTGGATTGCATTAATCCACACTGGGAGAGATGGAAATAAGTTTAGATTAATGCGTGCAGATGTACAGTGAAGTTCACCTAGGGATACCTGTCACAAGCCTTTGCCTGTGACACACGATATATGTTACATATAAGGAGAAGAGATTGAAGGGATGGTCGTACCATCATTCAATAGAATTTCTCAGCTTGCGCTTTCTAATCTACCTTTTCTCCTCTCTTCTTAGTTGCAAACTTAAAATTTAAAGAAAAAAATTATGGTTTTGAGCTCCGTCTTTCTCCACGGCTTGGAAAGAAGACTTGTTCGAGGGTTCCTTAGCTGCTAACTGTCCCAAAAAGATGAACCGGATTGCATCAATGCCTAGGCCTTATCTCTTCCCTGGCTTCAGGTTCCATCCCACAGACGAAGAGCTCATTGTCTGTTACATGAAGAAGAAAGTTGCTTCACCCTCCAATGCTCCTCTCTCTATCATTGCCAACATCGATCTCCATAAGTTCAATCCATGGGAACTCCCGGGTACTTAATCTACCCTACTAAGCTTTTCACCGTCTTCCTGTAAAGAACAACGATAGGTATTGAATAGTTTGTGATGTGGGAAAGAATCTCATATTAGAAAATTAGAAGAAGTTAAGTGACTTTATTATAATAATCCATCCATTTACAAATGTATTAATTTATTAAATAGGTCATTGCATATAGTCCATATAGTCCATATATGTATATTTATATATACATTAAAAGATTTAAACTTGGACTTGAGACTTGGCTTGACTTAAATTAAAAGGGTTAATAATTTTCTTTATTTATTTTATTTTATTTTTTGAATTAATATAAAATAATTTAATTATTTTAAATAATTTAACTATTTATTTTTTAACTCAATTATTAAAAAATAACTGTTAAAAGTAATTTTTCAAATTTATAAATATATCTTAAATGTCAAATATCTTTATCTTCTTCTTTTTTTAGAATCAGATAAATAATATTTGGGATAGTCTTTTCACGCCTCAATCCTTTGGTTGTATATTTTCTAACAACGGTACTTGCCGTCTGGAACTTTTTGAGACGGAGTGGCGATCTTGCTCTCTGTTCATTCGTTGTTCTTATGTGGTTGTGGTTGGTTTAACCACATAAGAAAAACGAATGAACAGAGAGCCTATGCTCTATTTGGAGAAGGAGAATGGTTCTTCTTCATGCCGAGGGACCGGAAGTACCCGAATGGGGTTCATCCAAATAAGACAGCAGGATCAGATACTGGAAATCCACCGGCACCGATAAATCCATCCTCAATTCCGGTGGACTGCAGCGTATAGGGATTAAGAAGGCTCTGATCTTCTACGAAGGGAAGCCTCCGAAGGGCATGAAGACGGAGTGGGTCATGCAATCCCAGGCTTCGGGGATCTATGAGGGTAATTCCTCCTCTAATGCCTCTGTAGAATCAAAAGCCCCAATTCATTGTTTGAGTTTTCTTTCCCTTTTTTTTTTTTCAAAACTTCTTTTCGAAAATGTTTATAGAAACATGCACCAATTTTGAAACAACAAAATGCACAAATTTAAATAAGGAAAAACTAGGATATTCCAGTCGCATTGTGATGCTAGCTTTCCCGTTTCCTCTGCTTTTGATATGACCATCAAGTGACATAGTAAAGCTGGCTAATTAGGGCGTTCTCGTTGAAATCGCACATGATTTTTGTATTTTTTTTGTTTTCTAAATTGAAGTTTAACGGGCTGTCTTTTGCTTTTCAGTTGGATGACTGGGTACTTTGCCGGGTTCGCCATAAGAGCAGCATCCCACATCAAACAAGAGAATTCTCGTCAGAGGAAAGCAATCTTAATTGCATACCCAGACCCAAATTCCAACTCCCTAATGATGCCCAAAGCGGTGACACAACAAACTGCTCCACAGACGCTTCCTGTGAAACCAAAGCTCATCCAAAGGACCCCAAAGGAAGACCATAAACAAACGATCGAGCACGAAACAATCACTTCACTATCCAAACAGGGCCTTGGGATGAAGAGGCGATTCCTCCCACCAGAGACGCCAGCTTCAAGCTCAAGAGAACGATATTTTTGGTGGAGAATTTCCGTTGTCACCAAGCAAGAGGCTCCAGACTACACCTCCTAGCGACTACGTGGAGGACTCCAGCATTTTTCAAATCTGTTACCTTGCAAACTCTGCTTGAAGTCTTGGCCGGCCTAACTCCATGGCGAGCTCAAATGGGTTTGGAGCCACCCACTCTCTCCGTATCGGAAATGGGAATCGAGTTCTTGGAATGCACAAGCCTGCTGCTGCTGCGGGTGGTGGAGATTTAAGAGGATTTTCCTGTGCCCATTTATTTTCCAATCTATTATTCTTTCTGTTCCTTGAAAGATCAAGAGGGACAGAGATTTGTAGAAAGGAAAACAGATGTAGGTAGGTTGGTTTGAGATAGGAGAATCCATTTGTTTCCAGTTCATTGTTTTATCAATATATGCAAGGTCTTGACCCACAAATATTATTCGTCATCTTTAAATTTCGAGACGTGTATAATAAATTTTCATTCACCTTAAATTTACGCCTTACTCTAAATTAGGTAATCATACTCAACCACCATTTTAGATAAACCCAATTTTAGATAGTTATACAAATGTCTCTAATCTATCCGAGGCCCCTCAAGACTCAGTATGTATCTGTTTGTAAAAAATATGATATTTATCAACTGGCCTCCCTAAATAAATTAATAAACTGGTGATTGAAATAAAGTTTATAAAAAAAACTTTATATTCTCTTCATTTTGGAGATTGATATAAAAATTAGTTATCTAACATTTTTCATCTTCTTTCTTGCTGATGCATCCTGGGTCCTGCATAACTTCAATCTTAGACATATAATAGAATGTTATACCATGTCACAATAAATTGGATTGCATTCAAAATATTCTTGTGCTTGTCCATTTGTCTAATTTGGTTCCTCTAAGTCTCCCAGATAGAGAATCCATTTGTTCATGAATTGATATGGGGGAGAAAAAAGGAAAGAGAAAACTTGTTCTTCACATGCAATTCAATTACAGATCAACATTTGGGCCCTTCGCAGCAGGGGTTCAAAAATTTGACTCTATAAAATGGACAATGTTTGTTTCACAGTGGAAAAGGTAAAATCTCATCCCTGTAAAAGGGTAAAACCTATGCCTCTGCTTTCATACTTTACCAATGGTTATTAAACCTGTTTCAGAGAAACCATCAGGGCCTGTGATTAAAGAGAATTCCATTAAATCTCTGTTTCAAACCAAAATTTTTCACTGGCAAGGAATTGAAAATTTTCGTTTTTCTAATTTTTACATAGCTAATCATGTAAAAACTTGAAATCTTTGGAACGACTCTGTCATCTATAATCCTAGAACAACCAAAAACTAACAGACAAAAAGATATCCAACATTTTATTTCTGAAAATTTTCCTTTTAGTCGTTCTCCGTGATTTTCCAATTTCCAAACAGGGCATTAGCAGCTCGACCAAGGAAAGAAAAGTTGTCGAGTTAGCGTTTACATCGTCTTCAGAAGCCATTATGATACAATGCGGCTTGACTCAGGTCCACACAAATATATAAAACTACGAGGGGTTGTTGAAAGAGGACAATGAGAAATAACAAAGCAAGACAACCATTGCACTAGTAAAACCTGCTCGAGTAACGTGCACGACCCGAAAATTAGTCTTCTTGCTCCAGTCAAAACCATGTTCAATCATGTTTTGGAAAATACAAAATTAGAGTTTTCCAAAACACTTATTAATTACATACCAGACCCGCTGGTCCACAAGTAATTTCATGCAGCTCCCAGTCGAGGATTAAACTGCCCATGGTGGCAAAATCACAATTTATATTCCACCTGGAAGTTCTACTATAGACCATATCACTTAGTTCTTGATTATTTTCTTATTTATTTGATTTTCTAGCGGCATTTTGCGCTTGGTATTTTCCGTAATTTCGCTTTCATAAGTGTCCACAATGCCAATTCCCAGATTTGCTGATTGAGTGGGAAAGTTTTTCTCGCCCACCAAACACCTGAAATTTTCAGGAAAAGGGTCCTTGATGGGCTGATATAAATAAATTATTCATATTCTTTTGTTTCTGTGAGCATGGTCTAAGAATGGTGACATGATGAGTTCATTAATCAAACTAGTGAGTATTTGATGTATGAATCCTCGATTGAGATAATTAGATTGCACCACATAATCATGCCTAATGGTTTTGGACCACAAATAAGACGTATTATATGTATTTAATTTATTTTTTTTACCATGACTGCCACGTAGGGCTTACTTGGACACAAATCTTGGTTTCCTTTTAATTAATCTAATAATTTCATAATAAATATTACATTTTAAAAAATGCCTAATTAAATTTTGATTAATTGATTGATATATCAACCAATCAATCATTAATTTCTAATTAAATTAATTATCCCTTTTGATTTATTATTTCATTAATTAATTAAACCATTTCTACTTTTCCAAATTAACTACACTTCTCTTATTCTAGATTTAGCTTGATGTCGTCGTCCATATCCATTTGAAATCTTCAGCAGCCAAATAAGATTCTTATTTTTCTTCTTTAGAACATAATAATAATAATAATAATAATAATCAACTGAAAATAGATAAACAATTTTTTGGGCTAATGGAAACGCCTGTGTGCACATACAAGGTATGCCGGGATCTTTCACAACAATGACTTGGTGGCTAGAAATGTTGGTGAGTACGGAGTTCACCTGAAGACTCTCTCTCTCTCTAGATTCCGTTGCTTTCAAGCAAGCAATCGTATAAACAGTTTTATAGTATTTAATTAAATTGCATTATGAAGTAAAGAAAATGCATGGATGGCGACGTGAAATACGGATACTTTTAACGTCATGCATGCATGGGGGAGTTGATTAGCAAGACAAAATTCTCCTGCAAAAGAGACAAATTTGCCGTCAACCTCACCTCCAATGAAATGTCTTGTGCACGGGATGGAGTCGTTTTTGCTAGATATGCCATGCATTGATTTGATCCTCGTAGGGAATTTAAGGCTTACAAGCAAACTCAATTGATTAAACACTATATTAATTATCGTAAACTTGTGTTTAAAAAATACTTTTAATTTAATCCATGGCTGGGAATTGGGATGGACCACCATGACCGACTTCTGAGAACCACGAGGGATGGGGTCATGCAGATAAGGACACCGTCAACGCTCGTGGTGGAATCTAAGATATCAGGTCGTCTCTGGTTTCAGACCCACAAAATCCTCTTAACCAGTATTGCGTTCATATAGGGAGACCGTCAACGCTCATGGTGGAATCTTAAGTTTTTCAGGTGGTCTCTGGTTTCAGACTCACAAGATCCTCTCAAGTGGTATTCCGTTCATGTAAGGAAAGGTTAACCATTTTCTTTAAGGCGATTGTTGTGACTATATTTTGAACTCATTCACATGCATTCGTCTTTCCATGGCTAAGCCTCTGGATTTCGAGGCTTTAAAGTCTTAGATTAATTTGAGAGTTTTAAAAAAGGTGTTTAGTGGACAAAGCTATATAGTATGAGTCAAAAAATATGAAAGTAATTAATATTTACGAGATTTTAGAAAAAGTTCTAACAAAAATAAAAGCCCTAGCAAACACCGAACAATTCTTAAATTTAAAGTTTTAATCTCTATCATTAACTGTAAAAAGAATAATACGCTAACTTAATATACTATGCAAGTGTTATGGGTGGTTACTTTTTTGTTTTGTTTTTATTTTTTTAATTTTTTTTTATCAAAAGATACATCAATGGAGTGTACAACATTTTTATTTATAATTCAATCTTCCTTCGTCACTCCATTTGACGTGGAATTCATGATACAAGACTCGTTTTTGATTAGTTTTAAATTCCTGCACACATATAGGTTGCCTTGATTTGATCATGTTTACAATTCTCTTGTTTGGTTTACAAAGGTATATAATGTTTACAATTCTTTTGTTTGGTTTACAAAGAAGCAAAGAGTAAGAAGGATAGTATGATTCCAAGAAATAGTAGGAGTGCCATATAAAATCACCTCTTAATTGTTCCAATTCCATTCTCCCACCATTTTTCATTTTTATCATCGTAAGAAAACAAAAAAATATCATCAAATACCATGTTGCAAATTTGTTTTCAATTTGTGAATTAGTTTCACCTATGCCCTGTTGCAAATTTGTTTTCAATCTGTGAATCAGTTCCACCTTGGCCATGAGTTTTGTTTTCAATTTGTTGCTTAGTTTTACCTTGGCAATGTATTTGATTTATTTCCATTTAAAGGGTGATTTGTATAATACACCTTATAATTATTATTTTGTGTACTTTGCACCTTAACAAACAAAGTAAGGGTTAAAAGAGTATTAGAATACAAGGTGCAAAAAATGATAATTTTGGAGTGTATTTTACAAATCAGTCACATATAAATGAAAAAGTAAAAGAAACGATTATAAGACATGCCATGTTAATATGTTATTTCCTAGAATTAAGAAAAGGGTATATCCCAAACAGTCATTACAGAGTATATTCCAAATCTATACAACTAAAACATATATATAAAATGAGAGTCAAGTAAGAAGGGTTTTTTAGAATTGTAAAACGCGGACATGTACTGCAAGACAGCAAATACAGAAAGTATTTGCAGAATTGTCCTTAGAATTCTGTGTTTGAATGGAATTTTTGACCTGAAAATAAGCATATATATATATATATATATATATATAGGACATAGCTTTTATGAATCCTTCTCAACGGGTCAATCAAATTCCTTATGTATTGGGAAAAAAAATCTCAAGAGTTGGCACTGGCTTTACTGTCTTGGACCATATGGGCCTGGTCAGTGGTCAATGCTAGCTAGCCAGCTGATCAAAACATAGACTTGGTCAGGCTCTCTGGACAGATATTAATGTAGACACACTCACATGTGGATATGAAGAAAATCGCTTGGCCATGTACTTCAGTAAATTTTGGACAGATTCCAGGGTTCTTCAAGAAATAAGCATGATGAGTGTGGATCTGATGAGAAAAGAATTAATATATATATACATACATATATATATATATATATATAATATTGCATGCTCATCTTCATTTGAATGAGCATTAAATTTGATACTCTAGTAGAATTAAACAGAGACAATAAGAGCCAGTTCCACGGAACGATTTTATTCCTGTTGGGAGCATCAAAATTGTTCCCCTCCAAACTTCATGGTATCTCAAGTACGAAATTAGTTGCTGCCGAATTCTAGGTTAGTCATGTTTTGTAATGTTTTTGAAAATATATATAAAAAAAAATGGAAACAGTCTGATTGCCAAGAACACTTTTGTTGTTCTATTTCCATGTGAAAATGAAATAAAAAAAAATATATAGGGTTAAAAATTGTTGTTTTTTAATTCCCAAAATGTCCCAGAACATAGAGGACAAAATAAAAAAAAATGGAAAACTTTATCCTATGTGCTAGCTGGTTGGCCACAATTCACAAGGAACCCTAGCATGATCATATACTTGTGTCCCAGATACAAATTGGAAAAATAGTACAAGCTGTAAATTTAAATACCAAAAAAAGAAATGAATATCTTAATCTGCACTGCTTAACAGAACCCAACGTGACACTAACAAACATAAAGCAATATATCTCGAAGGCCAACAATGACACATATTATATTTTATCAAAGGGTGATATACCCAAGATCCTATAAGATTTATCTCTTCAATTTGCTATATATATTCTTCTTCCCGGGTGACAATTGCAAGAAATGTTTGGAAATAGGAACATCTTCCAAAGTCCCTCCATGGAAGGCACCAACTTCCCAAACAATCATGTTCTCCCCCCCGGCTTCAGATTCCACCCCACTGATGAAGAGCTCATCACCGAGTATCTTCATAAGAAAATCTCATCTCCCATGAATCCCATTCTTTCCATCATGGCCGAGATCGATCTTTACAAGTTCGATCCTTGGGAACTTCCTGGTATCTTCTCCTTTATATTAGGTTCTTTGTTGCATATAAATGGGTCGGAGTTTTTCAAAGGGAAAACATCCCAAAGGCCCTCAAAAGAGAGCCTTTTTGCACTCTCTCATTCAAGGGCGGGCTTTCATGGGTTGATGTCACTTTGTGGTTTGATTACTGGACATTTTGTAGACAACCAAAGATGCAAATCAAAAAATAATGTTTTTTTGAGTAAACAAAAAAAAAAAAAGGAAAAGAAGTCGAACTTAAAGACAAATGCAGGCCAAATAGCCTCTTGGTTATTTCTTTCCTCTTTATTGAACCAAAGCAGTTTTTGGTTGACGCGGGTCGCGTGTGTGGTGCAGGTAGGGCCATGTTTGGAGAGAATGAATGGTTCTTCTTTAGTCCAAGAGACAGGAAGTATCCCAACGGTGCCCGCCAAACAGGGCGGCTGTCTCCGGTTACTGGAAAGCCACTGGAACCGACAAGCCGATACTCTCTTCGTACGGATCAAAGTGCGTAGGAGTTAAGAAAGCTCTTGTTTTCTACAGAGGCCGCCCCCCCAAGGGCGTCAAAACTGAATGGATGATGTACGAGTACAAGCTCCTCGATGACCGCCGTCTCTCAACGAGGCTCAGAGGATCAATGAGAGTAAGTTCTGTTAAACCAAAACCAAAACCAAAACCAAAAGCAAAGGGAAAAAAAATAATAGAATGGAGCTAAAAAACATGTTTCATTGACTATTTAAGCATAATTAAGGTATTTTCTTATTATCTAAGCATCTCTCTCTGTCTCCAAGTGTATGTCTTTTTGCTTGGTTCATGTATGTAAATTATTGATGTATGTTGATCTTTTTTGCAGTTGGATGACTGGGTTCTATGCCGGGTCCGGCAGAAGAGCAATGGACAGTTCCCAAGAAGAGAAAACCAAGAAGAGAGCAACCACAAGAGCTTCCCTCAAACTGAACTCGGAGGTTTCGAAGAGAGAGATATCATAGAAAAGATGAACTATCTTATAGACTCTCAACAGGTTCACCAAGAAGGTGAAGTGGTGGATGCCCATCAGCAACCCTCCCTTGATCATTTCCAAGGAGGTTTATCGGGGCAAATCTTCTTTGGCATGAACTCTAATACCCAAATCCAATCACATCCAATTTTTTCCATGAAGACTGCACTTCAAACCATCAAAAGAGTCCTCTCAGTTGGAGCCATGGATGAATTACTAGTACCTATATCGCCAAATAGGAGGCCAAGTTCACTCCTCAACTTGGACAAGTCAAGCCTTTTCGAAATCTCTTAGGCTAGTTGGTCAACTTGGTAACTATAATCCTGAAGTACGAGCATTTTTGCTTAACATTTCGTGAGTTAGAATGAATTGGCTTTTGAACCTTTTATAATGGGACCAAAAGTTTAAAAGCCAGTTCTCTCTAATTTATGAAAAAGTTCGTGAATGGGGAACTTCTCTAATATCAATCATCAACAGGCCTGTTGATGATTGTCCATTGTGTTAATGTAAATAATGTGTTACCATATTACTTCCTCGTTACGGTGTGAATAAATCTCTCCTGTTAGTCCAATCTTCTCCCCTAATGGTGAAGGTATGACGATGGTTTGCACTATAGCTCATGTGGCGATATCCTCACCGTTAATTGTGGAGGAGTTATCACGTAGCGGAGAGGATTAATACAGCCCTGTAGTTGGCATTAAAAAGTTGTTTTCTACCGTAACAGTGAGTGAAGTTGTGGATTGTCTCATGCATTGGCAGTAGTAAGTTTTCCATTTGCATTGATTGTGATTGAGTCAAGCCTTACTTGTAAGTTGTACCGTGAAGGCTCTCAGGTGTTTCAAATAAATTACAAGTAGAAAAGATATTTAACCTACCAAGCAGACTTTGCTGTTGTCATATATATAGTCTCACATCTTCTCCCTCTCCTTCTCACTCATTCACTCACACTCTCTCTCTCTCTCTCTCTCTCTCATAGAAAATATCAGTCTTTTGTCACAATAATATCGATTTATTTTATTTTAATCTTCGTCTATTGAGTCACTAATTTTAATATTTATTAAATCAATATCAATATTAATATTTAATATTGATATTATTTATGATAAGATTATTGAGCAGTTGAATTTGTATCAAATTCACATTTATGATAAGAATAGTGACAAATTGAATTAGTATCAAACTGACACAAGTATGTGCCACATCTGAATGATCAGTATTTCCAAATGCTAAGGGAGAAATAAGAGATCCTAAGGGCAGAAGAGAGAATATATATTAAACAACGGGTAAAAAACAAACAAGAATCCAAAAGCCAGAGCTGCCACAAGAGCAATGAAATCTCATTCCAGATAAAGTAGGGGAAAAAAATAAAGTAAACAAATGACAACCAGGAGGTCAATAAATTGGAAGCAGAGGGTTTTTCGATTGTCCACCAAATGGGTTTTTATTTGCTTAATTAATTAAGTAAACCTGTTGTTGGTGTTAAATCTGACCTCCTTCACATCTCAGAAAAGAAAAAAAACTCCTGACAAAATCTAAATTAAAAGTGAAAAAAATAAAGCCTGCAGAATGTTCTAGACTTCTAGTCCCGTTTGTAACAAGAAAATACGTGTTGTGAAAAGAGAACATCAGCCATGGATGAGCTTTTTGGTTCTTGATGACTTTGAAATAACCAAGTTGGATAAGGTTCTTTTTTCTTGTCATTTCTTTGGTACGACAAGAAATTAGTTAAGGTTCTCTAACATGTTAGAGGAGTCCAAAACAGAAAGAAGCTGAGCTGCTGGTGAGAGGACGGCCATGGGGAAGAAACGTATTATTTCCACCAACGGCCTTTGATCTCACCCAATGGGCAACCTTGCTCAAGAGATCGACCAATGATCCGAAAGGGGCACAAAGTGAAAGTTTCTGAAAACAAAGAAGAAATTCATCAGATGGACAATACTTGAGCACAAAATCATAATATAGAAAAGATCTGGGGGATATATAATAAAGGAAAACACAGTGAATCAAGTCATAAGAAAAGTCATTCTTTTGGCTTTCTAGCCGAACACACCGATGCCAACCAAGCCTGAATATTGAAAATCTTCCTTCCCCAACACACTGTTTGTTTCTAGTGGGAAATGCAACAATTTTGATTGTTTCGTTTCAGAAAATGTTTTCTATTTTCATTTCTTTTTTAAAATTTTTAGAATAACATTTATTTTCAGATTTTCAAATTTTAGAAAATATATTTGGTTTAGTTTTAGAGTTTCTTATTTTTAAGAAATGGTTTTAAAATTTCAGAATACGTTTTTAATTTTTAAAATTTCTTAAAAATACTGAAAATGATTTGTTATGATTGTCAATTTTCATCTCACTTTCTAGAAAATAATTTCACTAAAAGCAAATTACATACAGACCAGTAACATCCACCAAAAAAAAGAAGAAAAAGGGAGATTTTTTTCCCCAAAACCACACTCCCTCTCTCTCTTTCTTTCACGTTTCCCCCGCCCCTAGTTTTTCTTTTTCTTTCCATTTTGTTCTCTCTCCCCACTCTCCCCATCTCCTTTCTTCTTTGCAAAATCAGCACTGCCCGAACCAGTCGCCTGAGTTGCCAGCCAGCACCGCCCAAACTAGTCACTCGAGGCGTCAGCCAGAAACTGCATCTCCCGCTCTTCCTTCGCCAGCGGTCTAATGTTCAGCGCCATGCAAACCCGTCGCCCAAAGCCGGAATGCTGCGCCATCGCCTGAGGCCAACACTGCCTGTGCCTTCGCCCGAGATCGGTGCCGCTTGTGCTATCGCCCAAAACTCGAACCAGCTGCTCGGAACCAACCCACTCAAACCCGTCAGCTCCGCACTACTCGAAGCCAACTTGCTCCAGCTCACTGAGAACCTCCTGTGTCGCCGCCCGTTCAAGCAGCTTGAGATCGAGCCACCGAGCTCACCCGTTCAAGCCACCCGACCCAAGACCGAGTAGCTTGGGCCGCCGGGTCTGACTCGCCCGGATCTGACCACTATACGCTGACCCAAGCTGAAACCCGCCTGAACCTAGCATTGTCCGAACTTGGCACACCAGGGTTTGTCCGAACCCGGTGCACCAAAGCCCCGTTCGAACCCAGCACACCATGGTCCGTTCAAACTCGGCGCACTAGAGCTCTGTTCGAACCCATCACCGCTCGAAGTCGAGCTGCCTGGAGAGCCATTTTGTGCCTCTCTCCTCGGAGCAGAACCACTTTGTGCCACCCCGACCCCAAGTCACTTAGCTTTGCTTGAGTTGCCCGAAAATCAATCTGTGCTAAGCTGTTTGGATTCGACTCGCTCTAGCCCCCACAATTTGACTTGATCCAGCCCGTTCTAGCCGTCGGAACCCGACCAGCCGTGCATCGTCTGGGTTTGAACCATTCAAGTTGCTTGGAAACTGATCTGAGCCGCTCGGCTCTACGCCGTCCAGTCCAAGTTGCACAGCTTTGCACTGCCCGACCCGAAGCAGATATGCTTAGTTAGTCACTGTTGAGTTCGTGGGCTTTAGCTCTTATCCACCTCATTATTACCCTGTAACTTTGCATAATGGGCTTCTTTCAGTTGGGATTATGTGTGTGAGAAATGATATGCATTTTTCCGCTTTTTTTGAAAGATACATAAATTGTTTATGTGTTTACCATTGTTTGTGTATTATAACTATGTTATGAATGTGATGATTGTACATATATGATTGTGTGAAATTATGAATGAGATGTTCATAAGATGAATAAAAATGAGTGCTGTATGCATTGATCACAAATGATGATGTTATGTTGAGAATTGGGTACATAAGGACAGAGATAAATGGGGATGGCGGTAAATCAAGTCGGGCAGTGCCCATGATTCCCACCTGTGGTACTTGGGTATGTTTCTATCTATTAGGTGTTGATGAGTGATTTTTGTATGCTTTTATGATGTATATGTGATCTTACGACGGTGTGCTTATACACAATTTATATGTTGCTTGAATGTTTAATGATTCGACTATTGATGTTGATTCACACGTTGAACTAGGCTATTCTATGATAATAGTAAGTGTTTTCTGCATGTTCCTAAAACTTGGGTTTGTATATTATGACTCATTGAGCGATAGTTCACCCTTTTATTTTTTTTTCTTCCAGGCTCGATTTGGTTTCCTGATAGAGAAACTCTTGGTTGTTGAGTCCCGTGTCTGCTTATGTGTTTGGGCTTAGTTGTTTTGTTATTGTTGTATTACTTTCACTATAATAATTCAAGAGTCGGTGAATTTGTAGGGTTATTCTATTTGTCCACAGGCAAGATCCCGTTTTCCTGCGTCCTTAGTTAACGTACTCATTGTATTATTATTGATTTTGTTGTAGTTAGCTAATAGTTTTTTTGTAAATATACATGTTGATGATCTGTAGTTGCAAATAGAAGCAAATGTCAAAAATTGTTAGATCTTACTCTTATAAGCTTTTAACTGTCTAGGGTCGCTATTAGAATTTATAAATTGTATTTTTCACAGGTTGAAATTTTGTGATATGTGTTGTTTTTAGGAAAACTTCTATTGAAATTTTCGAAAAATTTCACAATTAAAATTAGTTTAATTAAGTTTCTTGAGACTAACTAGGCGAGTAAGTCCTCCTTAATATTAGTCACTTGCCCTCTAATTTGGGTTGTAACAAAATCCCTGATTGATTTGCCCATTTTCTATTTTTATTTACAATCAAAACAGAAACTAAGGCCCAAAACACTTCAATGCTGGTAGTAAAACTACCGAGCTACAGGAAATTTCTTGCTATATCTTTTCTTGCAGCTCTGGTGGTTGACAGGACCTTTTGAATCTGTGCTCTTTTTTATTTTATTATTTAATTGACAATTATTCCCAAACCCATCTTCTCAAATATCATTTGACTTCAATGATGGTGAATACAAATAAAGAAAATTAGCTAAGCATGATAATGATTTATACATTGAATTTGTGATCTTAGATAATTAATGGTATAATGAAATTCTACTGAGAGAATAAGAATGATAAAAATTAAAAAAATATGTTTAAAAAGTATTTTATAATAAAAATTTTTGTATATTAAGAAATCAGAATTCTATTAAATCAAAAAAATCTGAATTTCATCGCTAAAACGATAGAATTTAAATTTCATTTACTGATAAAATATTCACTGAAGTATATAATTATTATAATATTTTTTACTTTTTAAGTAAATAACAAAAATATCTTATAAATATAAGTATTTATAATATTATATATTAATATATTATATTAGGCATAACAAATTAGTTTTTTTAATTTTTTCTTCTAGATATTGGAATTAGTCGTTAGTGGCCAACTATTTTCTGATTTCTTTAAAGTAAAATTGGAAACCTCAATCTTGCTTACCAAAAACACTTTTTCTGTCATTCTTATTTTCAAATTAAGGAATCTGGGTACTTCTGGGTATGGAGTTTGAAAACCAAATCCATTAAAAACGGCTTGACGATTTCCAAATTTAAAAAAATCTGGTGACTGTTAAAATTTTTTAATTATCTATATATATCATGCTAAAACATTTAAAACACAAAAAATAAAAATAATTATTTTTTTAAAATAATTCTATAAAAATATATAATCATTTTCTAACTTAGTTGGTCTTAGAAGATATGAGTTTATTATAAAAGAAAAATTCTATGAAATTTACATTTGACTTAATAAATAAATAATTTAATTAATATATTATCAAAACTCCAATTAAAGCATCGTAAAAAAATATTACAAAAAGCCCTAAAGTGAGGAATCACGAAAGTGTCAGTCGTGAAACCCCCTTTTACACAGTAAATCAACGTATTTTATAATTCTTTTATGAATTTTTTTAAAAATATATCTTTAATACTAATTAAGTTATAAAAAATATAAATATTTTAATCCAAAGTTGCCAATCTAATAACCATAATAAATTTCCATTTTTATAATATGATTTTTTTTTCTTCTTCTATCTTTTTTTTTTTTTTTTTTAAAAGGAAGTCCCCTTGTTGCCAGACTTGCCGGACAAGCCTTTTTAGTTACCAAAACACCCTCGTCGATGGGGCGGGGTTAACTCCACATCCAAGGACAAGAAAGTAAAATTTAGATCCCGTTGATGCCTCACTCTGCCAGTCTGCCCAGCGTCCCCTTTAGAACCCCCAAAGCTCTTCCGTCATCCAACTCTTTTCCCTCCCCAATTTTAAACCACGTCTCGCCAACCACGCGCACGCACCTTTTTTTCTCTCTTTAAGGGCGGTAGCAAAGCCGGAGTTGAATCACTAGGACAACCGAGTGATGAGGAGGTTTTTCAACAGGGGTTCTGGCGACTCTTCACAGCCTTCGCCGGAATCTCCGGCACCGTCGCCTTCGTCCCTCTCCACCACTGGGCCAGCGCGGCCGATCCGCCTCGTCTACTGCGACGAGAAAGGCAAGTTCCGGATGGATCCCGAGGCTGTAGCGACGCTTCAGCTGGTCAAGGAGCCTGTCGGTGTCGTCTCCGTCTGTGGTCGTGCTCGCCAGGGCAAGAGTTTCATCCTAAATCAGGTATTTTCCCTACCTTCTCTGGTATAAATTAATGTGATGCTTAATTGCCAATTATGTAATCTGGGGTTTTCAAATTACTGGTCTACGCGAATGCTTTTCGAGGAAATTGATTGTGTTGTTTTTACGTGCATTCTTTTTATTTGTGGGATATTGGTAGTTCTAAAATTAGGGTTTTAGTTATTGCTAAGGGGCTAGTTATTTTTGGGTATTGTTTAGACAAGGAAACAAACAATTCCCACTGCCTTTCATACTGCATTGCAAACTATTAGGAGACCAGACTGTTGGGATTTTGGTAGCTTATTGAAGTTATTCACTGTTAATGGCTCAGGCCTCGTCAAGGCACAAAGGTCCCCTGGAGCCTAGGTGCAAGATGCTAGGCACCGTGTGGGCCTTTAGGAAGTAAGGCACACATTAGATCATTTTTGTGACAGTTATTCTACATACCATGAGACTCTAAAGTATTCAAAGTTTTAAACATATCAAATATGCATGAAAAATATATAATCAGCAAACATGTAATGAGAAAGATTATTTAGTTAAAAGGTATGTGATATACGTCAAAATTCAGAAAGGTGTTGGGAAATTAAATTAAAGTTGTATAAAAATACTGAAATAAAATTAAAAATTCGGGCTTTCATAGAAACTTAAAATATTTGGGGGAAGATTATTGAGAGAATGAAACTTGGGGAGGGGGAAGAAACGCGCATGTCAGAAGTGGAGTGATGAAGTTGAAGCCAAAATAGAAGGGGAAACCAAAGGAGAAGCAAAAACCGAAGTTGAAGTCAAAGCAGAAGCAGAAGCAGAAGCAGAAGTTGAAGCCAAAGGGGAAGAAGCAGAAGTTGAAGCTGAATGAGAAGAAGCAGAAGTTGAAGCTCAAGCAGAAGTCAATGTTGATGCTCAGAATTGAAGTTGTATCTGATAATTGAAGTCCAATTTGAAGTTGAAGCTCCAAATGAAGGCAAAGACCTAGTTGTGGAAGTCAACTGATGTTTTTAGGGTTTGATTTTATCATTTCAGATATCCAAAAATTCTCTTTATCCATTCCGTAACTCCTAGCCTATTCCCTAGCCCAACAAAGCCCTCATGATCCAATTTCAATCATGTAAAGGCCTAAAAGGTTCTCAGATCTTTCAGGGTATGCCTTGCTGAACCTTACCTCTCCAGGCTTGCGCCTGAAGTTGCCTTGCCTGGCCTAGGTCAAGGTGTTTTGACTGCAACTTGTTACACCTTGCTCCTTAATGGCATCTTTTTGCACCTTTAACACTATTGCATGGCAATAATTTAGGGGGAACTGAATTCTATTAAAGGCATGACCTATTGTTAAGCTTAGTAACTTGTTGTGTTTTCTATTAACCTATTAGTTGTTTTGAGAGAAGAGAGATTGGAAGATCCACAAATTTTCTTTCATGCTGCTGGATGGCTATGCCCTTTTCTAGAGGCCTGTGGGAGATTTGGGATCCTGGAGGTAGGGGGAAATAATTCTTTGTTTGTTTTCTGTGGTTTAGAGGATTTACTTTCATTTTTGATACTTGTGTATTTTGATATGTCTTGAATTAGGCAAGTGGGATTCATGTTTTGTTAGGAATCTTGGTTCAATAGGCATTCCTATTCCTGTTCGGACAGATGAGCTATTTTATGCCTATAAATATCTAATTAGTCAGGGCTTGAGATGGGGTGAGACCTCTTTGCCCTAAGATTCTCTAATTAGTGAATTCGTACCTTACCCATGGTCTTAGGTTGTTCTTTGCCAAACCACGCAACTTGGTGTGTTTCTTGTATTGCTTCTGCACTATGACAGATGGGTATCAGTGTAAGAATGTTATAGTAGTGCATATCACGCCCAAGTTTGATTCTGGATAAGTGAAATCTCTAGTGTTCTAATATATTTAACTATTTTGATGATTGTTTCTTCCATTTTAGTTTCTTTACCACCTATATTGGTGACTTGAAGAGATTTCACGATAAAGCTACAGCTTACAGGGCAATATAATTAAAGATAGTTGGATAAGGTTGTAATTAAGGAACTTCTAAGCAGTTCATATTAGATTTAATCAGAGATGCATGAGAAAGGTATCGCTTCACTTTCAAATTTTGTCATAAGCCCTTGCTTGGCTTGCTTAGGCCCTCAGGCATGTGTGGTGCACGCTTAGTGCCTGACCTTGGTCTAGGCAAGGTGCCATCATCATGGGACTACCTAGGCAAGCAGAAGACTTAGGCCCACATGTTGAGGTGCTCTCATTGCTAAGATTACTTCTAGACCATGTATAATTCTATAAGTTAAAGGAGAAAACTTGAGAGGCTTTTATCTAAAAAATAAAATTCTGAAATATGATATAGAAAGAGTGCCAATTTCCCACTTTTTTTTTTTTAAAAGATAAACATAGAAGGAAAAGCTCTCCCTGAAGAAGTGGAACCAAAATTTTCATCAAAGGTAAGTAAACTACCCGCATACAAGCCCTCACATTTTTTGCATATCTGTTACTTTTTTTTTTTTTAGTTTAAATGAATAAGATATATTTTCTATTAATATTTCCTCTCTTGCTCCTTTTTGAAAGAAGGGAACATATTGTTCTAATCAATCTTTCTTTTATAAATGCAAGGGCACCAATTTCTCTTCCTATCTTTCTCTATATGGTTATTTTTCTAAGTCTGCTTTTTCATGGAATTTAGATTATCAAATAATATAGCAAATAAAACTTACAAACTTTTTGTATTTTTATACTTTGTAGTTATTATGGTGGCATTCCCACTACATAGACATAATTGTAACTTACTAGATAATATGTTTTAAAGAAATTTGAAGATAATTTCTTATGATATGAGCCTTGGATTTTTCTATTTATTACATTTTTGTTTTTAACTGGTGCCTCATTTGGGAGAATGCCTTGCCTGGTGCCTAGCAACTTAAGTGGCAAAATGCCTGGATGCCTTAAGAGCATGTAGCTGCCTAGTGCTTTTTAAAACATTGCATTAGTCTCACCTCAGCTACTTCTTATCAGTTGTGTGTATTTCCCTAGTTTAGCCTGCCTGAGGGTATGTCCTTGACTGGAAGCCTAAATAAGTAATTTCAATTTCAACAGATACTGCCATTAATGGAAAGGTACCTTGGATAACTTCATAAAAATCCAGGAATAAGAAATTATATCTGTTGGGAATGGATTTCTTTCATCTAGTCTGTGCTTAAAAAAATATTGTCAAATGGTTTGACATGACATGTCTTCCTGCATGGGAGAAAAAAACTATGAAAGTTATATTGATGGTATGTTTGTTATATTTATATTGAGATACTCCATTGGAGTTTTCTCAATACAGTAGCCATATGGATTGCTGCATAAATGCTAGAAGAGTTCAGTTATCTGTATGATATCAGGAAATCTCTATTGAACGCTAAAGGTGAGCATCTTTTGAAGTTTTTCTTTCAATAATTAAGAACCTATTCTGTTCAAAAAATTAAATTTGATTCAAGGTCCTCTTTCTCTCTTTCTTTCCTCCCTTGATTTGGAAAAGGGAACTGGCAAAGCACTTTTGAAATTTTTGAAGAGTTATAAGAATATTGCCCTAATTATTTAGATACTAATTCTTGCTATACGAGCATTGTCTACAAAGCACAATTTTTATTGACAATGATTAACATCTTTAGTACTATCCTTTTAACCAAACTCCTATTTCCCAGTAGTCTGATTTTTCATCCTAGTTCATTTATACTCTGTTGGTATAGCATGCCTATCTTACTCAAAACTAATGTCTATTTGTGTTAGATAGTGTTGTAAGTAAATGTTATTTGTTTCATCCATCTGTCAAAAAGTGATGCTTTGAACTTATATTCTGCAGCTTCTTGGAAGGAGCAGTGGATTTCATGTTGCATCAACTCATAGGCCCTGCACGAAAGGACTTTGGTTGTGGAGTGCACCTATAAGGAGAACAGCCCTTGATGGGACTGATTACAATCTTTTACTCTTAGACAGTGAAGGAATTGATGCTTATGACCAAACGGTTAGTTTTGATTTTCTTTTTGTTTATTGTCTGCTTTATTGTGCTGATACAGTTTCCTGTGGAATTTTTTTTTTATTTTTTTATTTTTAGTATCACACTATTACAAGGTTATCTGCATTTTTTCATTTTTCTTCCTTTCCATTTTTCTTTATCTAGATTGTATTTTTATTCTTTACTTTTGTTTATTTTATTCATATTATTAGTCATTGATATAATGTCATTTGTCTTTCCCTCTATTTCATTTTTCTTTTGTTTGTGCTCAACAGGGAACATATAGCACGCAGATATTTTCCTTAGCTGTCCTTTTATCAAGCATGTTCATATACAACCAGGTTGGATAGGCTTGCTTTGTGATCACTCTGCTGCATCTTTTGTTATAACAAGTAGATAGTAATATTGTAATATATGTTACACCTTTTCCTTTTAATATTTAATATCCTACTTTTGCTGTTTAATTCAGATGGGTGGTATTGATGAGGCAGCACTTGATCGTCTCTCCCTCGTCACTGAAATGACTAAACATATTCGTGTAAGAGCTTCTGGAGGCCGGAGTAGTGCTTCTGAACTTGGGCAATTTTCCCCAATATTTGTTTGGCTTTTGAGGGTAATCTTATTCTAATACTATTTTATAACTGTTTTTTGAATATTAAAAACTACCTTGATTCTGCTAGTGTTTTTGCTTCAATTACAAAATACGAAACTGAATGCATGTTTGTTTGCTTGACCAGCTGATTTTTGATTAATTGCAACATTAACTGTCCCTTCTTACTGGCAGGACTTCTATCTCGATTTGGTGGAGGATAATAGGAAAATAACACCCCGTGACTATCTAGAGCTTGCTCTAAGGCCAGTTCAAGGGAGTGGACGAGATTTAGCCACCAAAAATGAGGTTGTTGTCAGATACACTCTTCTAGCGATACAATTATGAAATATGGAGTAAAATATCTGCAAACTTGTTATTGCCAGTAACTTTTCAGATCATGAAGCAGACTGAAACAGATTTGTTTTTGGGGTGACTTCACTATGTTTTGATGTTGAACATGTTATGTTTGGAACATTAGTTGCAGCAAATATTCCCAGTGCATATACTAATGTTTTTACAATAATAATAACCAGATACGTGAGTCAATTCGGGCTCTTTTTCCTGATAGAGAATGTTTCACCCTTGTCCGGCCTCTGAGCAGTGAAAGCGAACTCCAGCGGCTTGACCAAATTCCTGTCAGTTACTTTTTTTTTTTTCCCCTTTTTGTTGTGTGCAGTATAGTATTAGTGAGGTGTTTTCCCTTTTCATTGTTATGAAGTTGATGAAAGTAGTTTATTTCCATTTTTATTTTTCGTTTTTTTATATGTATGTTTCTGCAGTTGGACAAATTAAGATCAGAGTTTAGATCTGGTCTAGATGCTTTGACGAAGTTTGTTTTTGAGAGGACTAGGCCCAAGCAAGTAGGGGCAACTGTAATGACGGGACCAATCCTTGCTCGTATAACTCAGTCTTTTTTGGATGCAATTAATAATGGTGCAGTACCAACAATAACATCCTCGTGGCAGGTAAGAATTTTTTTTTCCTAGGGCTTTATATTGTTTCTGGTTCACCTTGTTTCATGCACTTCATGTTCTTTTATATTGCTGATTTGTGATTTGCCCTAGAATGCTGCATTCTTTTCTTAACTTACAGCATCAACCTTAGGATGGAGCAGCTCTACCGACATTTCATTGGTATTGATGTTATGGACTGTTATTTTGACCCTTTTGTTGCTGCATGTCTACGCCAGCCCTGCATGGATTTGGTGTTTGCATAGACATGCTACCTTGAAGGCAAATACATTAACTAAATGATCTTAATTCTAGCCTGATGAATTCAATTAGTGATAAGCCGTTTTTTTATCATCTAGTGGCCTCAAATATAGGTAAAAGAATTGATGCACCTAGTCACGTGTTTTACTTATTCCAATTTAGAATCAGTTTGATTGTTTGGCATTTTGAGCTTATGTCTATGGCTTTATAGTCCAAAAACTTGAGAAGCCAAGATGTTGTGGTTTCCCTGGCTAGAAGGCCAATGATCTTTAATTTATTTGAGGGTATTTGCAAAGCAAAATAGGATCACAGCACAAGAATGATCTAAACTCAAACCAGAATAAATGTAGGGTAAAAATTGAATAATCAAGTAACCAATAAAGCCAAACATGCTTTTACAATTGGTTTTAGAAAAACTTCAGAGTTCCTTACAACAAGAATCCTAATTACAAACCAGAATCCTTCAATGTTGCTGGTTGATCTTGGGGCAGTTGAATGACAAGAATTCTTGTGCTCATAAATGGTAGGAAATGCTCGATGCTTGGGAGGGATGAGGATCTCCCTTGACTCTCTACGTGGTTGGACTCTTCAAATCTCTCTCAAGAATGGTTGAGAATCAGTTATAGGGTTTGCAGAATTTTGTTGGAAGCGAATTTCCAAGAGTTGTTGAAGGATATCTTGGATTGTTGGATGTTTGGAAGAAGCTTCGATACTTTGGAGACGTCCCCACGTCATTCTTTTATAAACCCAGGTGTCCAGAGGGGTGAGGAATCCTTGGAAGTATGGAAAAAGTATAAAAATTTGCTGCAGCGCACTACGGTGCTTGGATAGCCTCCAACATGCTACGGTGCACGCTATAGCATGCTTTAAATTAGTGCTACATTGTTTTTTTATTTTTTATTTTTAAATATTTTTTAACAAAATGCATTCATGCTCAAACTCTCCAAAGGTCACTTATTCCAAGTGATCTTGCATGCGTAAGAACATTGAGCAACATAAACGAGCAACATAAACTGTTGAATGAGGTATTCTTTCCACTATAAAAATATGGATCTTACATCTCCTTCTTGACATTCAAGGAAGAACTTTTATGGAAAGACTGCATATGGACTTCATATTTACCTGAACATTAATTGTTAAGGTTTTGAACTTAAAGCCAAAATGTTATAGAATAAGTTATTTTTTCTCTCTGCCCTTTTGTATATTGGGGCAGGGGTTGTCAAAATCATTAGTTGATTCAGATGCAATTCAAGTGGGTGTGCTTTGGAAGCGAGAAGGATAATTATGATTCGTCGTTCTATATCTCAATTTAATCAAATAGTTTTTGTAGAAAGGAAAAATTCTTATTCCACTCTATGTCAATAACAATACATGTTACACAAATTTATATACAAAAAATCCTATACTAATAAGGAAAAAATATCAAAGAAGAAATCTCTATGGATCTCCTAATTTGATCCTAATTGATCTAATCTAGAATCATTCCATAATTAACACTCCCCCTTAAGCTAGAGCGTATAGATCATATGCGCCAAGCTTGTTACATAAATAACTTATTCTAGAACCTCTCAAGGATTTGGTGAGAATATCTGCGAGTTGATCATTTGAATTAACAAATCGAGTAGTAATGTTTCCTGATTGAATCTTTTCTCTGATGAAGTGACAATTTATCTCGATATGTTTGGTCCTCTTATGAAACACTGGATTAGAAGCAATATGAAATGCTGCTTGGTTATCACAAACAAGTGTCATTTGCATAGGCTCCCCAAATTGAAGTTATTTAAGAAGTTGTTTCAACTAGATGAGTTCACAAGTAGCTAAGGCCATGGCACGATATTCTGCTTCGGCACTTGATCTTGCAACTACGTTCTGCTTCTTGCTTTTCCATGATATCAAATTGCCTCCAATGAATACATAATACCCAAAAGTGGATCTTCTATCAATGGGAGAACTTGTCCAATCAGCATCTGAATATCCAATAATCTGAGTGTGACCTGTCTTCATAAATGAGGCCTTTACCAGGAGCTCCTTTAATATATTTTAGAATACAAATTACTGCATTCCAATGATCCTCACATGGTGTATTTAAAAATTGACTGACCACACTAACTGCAAAGGAGATATCTGGTTGTGTTACTGTGAGATTGTTTAATTTTCCGACTAATCTCCTGGATCTTCCTAGATCTGATAGAGGCTCCTTCTGATTTGGTAGGAGCTTGACATTTGGATCCATAGGAGTCTTAGTGGATTTTGCGTTCAACAGACTAGTTTCTTCAAGAATATCCATAGCATATTTTCTTTGTGAGATAACTATGCCGTCCTTGGATTGTGCAACAAAAAATTCCTAAGAAATAATGGAGTTTGCCAAGGTCTTTGGTTTGGAAATGACGATAGAGATGCTGTTTTATCTAAATTATACCATGGTGATCACTGCCAGTGATAACAATATCATCCACATATACAATTAAATAGATACATCCTTGGGTTAAGTGGCGATAGAACACAGAGTGATCAGTTTCACTTCAAATCATACCAAATTATTGGATAGCGGTGCTAAATCTACCAAACCAAGCCCGAGGTGATTGTTTAAGATCATATCATGACTTACGAAGACGACAAACCATGCCAGCAAACTCCCTTTGAGCAACAAATTTAGGTGGTTGCTCCATATAGACTTCTTCGGATAGATCACCATGAAGGAAGGCATTCTTGATGTCCAGTTGATAAAGAGGCCAGTGACGGATAGCTGCCATAGATAGAAAGAGCCGAACAGAGGCCATCTTGGCTACAGGAGAAAAAGTATCACTGTAGTCCAAGCCAAATATCTGAGTATACCCTTTTGCTGCCAAATGAGCCTTGAGTCTATCAATTTTGCCATGTGGACCAACTTTGACAATATAAATCCACCAACAACCAACAACTGACTTGCTTGGAGGTAGAGGAACGAGATCTCAAGTACCATTGCTCTGAAGTGCACACATTTCATCTAGTATTGCTTGTCGCCACCCAGGATGGGAGAAAACTTCACCTAGAGATTTAGGGATAGACACAGAAGAAAGAGACGCGAGATAAGCATTATGCAAAGGAGACAAACAGTGATAACTCAATGTAACATAATGAGGAGAGGGGTTACGAGTAGACCGTATACCTTTCTTGAGCGCAATGGGAAGATCAGGCTCAGAAGACAGGTCCGGAGTTGGTAATGGAGTCCGTGTCGGATGAAAGTCTGCAAGGATCTCAGCAGCAGGACAAGATGGTGAGGGATTAGGAGGTAGAGTGGTACGGCGATGATAGACTTGGAGAGGATAAGGAGTAGGTGTAGGAGGGTCCATAAGAGGTGGTGGAGAGGTACCTGGCTCGGCTGGAATAAGAAGGGGAGAAACAGGTAACACCTCAGATATAGGCTCAGGGTTCGAGGGAGATGACTCAAAGAAAGAAATAGATTCAAAAAATGTTACATTTGACAAGACAAGGTAACGCTGAAGAGTGGGCGAGAAATAACGATATCCCTTCTTAGACCGAGAGTAACCAAGAATGACACATTTAATGGATCGGGCTGAAAGTTTGTCAAGACCAGGACTGAGATTATGAGCAAAACAAGTTGACCTAAAGACACGAGGAGGAAAAAACATAGATCTGATGCTCCTGAATCGAGAACCCAAGGGCCAAGGGATGGTGACTGGGAGAGACAAGCAATAGACTTATTAGTGTGCGCAACAGAAGTAGTAGAGCCAGATGTCTGTCGTTGCTCAAACCATTTTAGAAAAGTTTCATAGTTGGCTGGAGATGGTCGAGGCTGATATGAGAGGTTGGGTGTATTTGAAGGAACAGTCTGTGCCACATTAGCAATCCGTGGGGGTCGACCATGTAGAGTCCAGCACTTGTCAATAGTATGTCCCAAGCGATGACAATGATCACACTTAGAATGGGTTTTATTAGAGTTATTTCTCCGAGAGCGACTACGAGTATTATTCTGGGAAACAAGAGCTGTGGTTTCGCTAGGATTAAGAGTAACTGAATCAAATGACTGCTTAGTTGGAACCCGAAGCAAAGTGGACCAAGATGTGGATAAAGTTGGGACAGTGGGGGAACCCAAAATTTGATCGCGATTAGCAGAGTGCTCTGGAGGCAAACCATATAGTGCTAATAGCATAAAGAACGTACTCTGTTGCTCAAGTTCTTGTGCTAAAGTCTTTACGGGAGGCAGCAGTTCATTGAAATCGTGCAAAGCCCCATGAACCTTGCCTAAGCAACCAGATATAGGTCCTTCAAACTTCCGTGGTGCAATGATGCTCATAAGATCATGACAAACCTTGTAAAGTGGTTGAGTATCATTAGTATAAAGAACCTTGGCTTGTGTCCAAACAGATTCGCAAGTGAGATGAGCCTGAAATATCTGTTTCAAGGAAGAATGAACAGTGGATTTTATTATACTGCATAGTTGGACATCAATCTTCTTCCATTTGGTTTGCTCCTCAATAGGTACAGATTCAACATTTTTGGTAAGGTGATTCTTGTAATCTTGTCCAGTAAGTCATAACTTAATGTCAGAGGCCCAAGTATCGTAATTGCTTTCATCTAACTTATTAGTAGAAAGGGGAGCACTGACATAATTGGTGAAAATAGGAGGCTCAACTTTCGAGGTGTTCTTGAAATCAGAACTCGTTTTAGAAGCATTAGCCATAGTAAACAAATGGTTCAGCAAACCTGGTTGTGCTTGGCTAGTTCAAGTAAAAACCGGTTCAGACCAACTGGTTCAACTGGGCCAGTTCAGTATGGATTTCTGTAGATTGGCTGGCTTAGATCGTCTGGTTCAGAAAACCCTAGAGCAGCTTCTTCTTCAGCCTTGATCGCAATCTTCACACTGAGATCTGGGTTGTCCTGCCGTTGCAAAAGATCGTCAATGGTCGGTGATTAAGGAAGTTGACGAGGAAGTGTTGCAACCATGATTCTCCTGGCGATCGCTAGGGCTTCGTCGACGAAGGCCACGGATTTTGGGAAACAGAGATCGTCGATCTAGGAGTCGACGATGACCAATGAATGAGAGTCGAAGGCCGACGATGGTAGATCTTACATAAGACAGATGAGATTTGCGAGATGTGAGGGCCAACTCTCCAAATCTGAACAAAATACGCCATGGGTTTGGTCGAAATAGGCAAACGACACAGGCAGAAAAGAGAGAAGTCTGACAGGAGTCGCGCGTGTATTCATGCGCGTTGGAGAAAAGGGTTGGTCGGCGATGCGTGGATGTGTCAACTATGATACTGTTCCGGCAGATTGCTTTGATTAGAACCAGGAGCAAGTATCTGAATTGAGGTTGGAACAGTAATGATAGTCTTGAACAGTAAAAAACCTAACCCTAATCTTATATTTGACCTCGCTTTGATACCATGTAGAAAGGAAAAATTCTTATTCCACTCTATGTCAATAACAATACATGTTACACAAATTTATATACAAAAAGTCCTATACTAATAAGGAAAGAATATCAAAGAAGAAATTTCTATGAATCTCCTAATTTGATCCTAATTGATCTAATCTAGAATCATTCCACAATTAACAGTTCTATCTGTCTTTTTTCTGTGTTTGCTTATCATATTTACTATTATTTTGATTGTGCTGTTTATTGTACTTGCAATCAATTAAATTTTTTGTCTGATCTTATTTATGAGGGCAAACAAAGTTTTTAGCGTTCAATTTTGGTATTTGTGAGTGTCATAGAGAAGGAAGGAGATCTGATGTTGTGGATGACACCTTGTGGTTTTGAGGTTGTGGAGTTCAAAGTAAAAAATCTCTCCTCTCTCTATCTCTCCATACATACCCAACTCAACTAAGCTTTTCCCGACTAGGTAGGTTGGTTACTTGAATCTTATGTATATATTTTGCCCATCATTGATCTTATTTTTGTTAAACTGATATTTAAATATTCTTCTTACTTTTTTTACCCTAGTATTGGCCCACCTCTACCTCATAATTATCTTTGGTATCTACAATTGTTTTTCTGATCCATGTTGTTCTATGGGATTTTTTTTTTCTATAAATGGATGCTACTAATGCACTTTTTTGCTTATATGGTATGCAAGCCAGCCAGATAATCCAATTTTCATTAGAGTAACTGGGACCATTTTGCTTGTTCTCCAAAATAAGATAGGCAGGGATTGTAAGTCATATTTATAGGAATACTTCCTACATGGGAAAGAGGCTTTATTTTGGGGTAGTGAGAATTCTTTGCTGATGTGTGAAACAGTTAATTTTCTTTTATGGTGTTGTCTGACAAGAATTTGTTGCTTACCTGATTGCTTTATTGTTACATTCTTGAGAGGTTTCTAGTTGTCTCACATATGATGTGATGTGATACTGCTATAATATCATTGGTATTCATATATATTTATTTTGCTTTCGGAAATATTGGAAAAGAATAGGCATTAGTCTAGCCTCAATTGATTTCTATGTAGCACTTAAAAATCTGAAAACATCTTGTAGAGTTGGTTGAAGAAAATTCTCTTGATATCTGTCACATAAGACATGTTCTAGGCAACAAATACTCCTGTCAGTGAATTTTTGGAGGATCTTCTTATATCAACTAATGATACTTGTCTTATTGTTCGCTCTTGTTTTCTTTCAAGTCAATTGGTTACAAAATTTAATAGGTTTCAACTTTACATAAATGGAAGGAATATTTAAATCCTGTTATTAAGAAGAGTTAGTCTTATGGGCAAATGATTCTTTATTTGAAAGTTGTATCTGTCATGTTTCAATTTTCTTTTCCCCTTGCAGAGTGTTGAAGAAGCAGAGTGCCACAGAGCATATGATTTAGCTACTGAGGTTTATATGTCTTCTTTTGACCGCTCAAAGCCCCCAGAAGAAGTGAGTGGCACATCTTCCTTAATGGTTGCTCTTTATACCATTTTCTAATTAAGATGATTGTAGGTTGCACTAAGAGAAGCTCATGAAGAAGCAGTTCAAAAATCAATGGCTGCATTTAATGATAGTGCTGTAGGATCTGGTTCAACAAGGCAGAAGTTTGAAAAGCGTCTCCAGAACTTTCTAAAGAAAGCATTTGAGGTGTTCTGTTTTTTCCCCTTCTCTCTCTCCTGCTTGAAATCATTTTTAATGGGAAATTATATTATTGTAGCTGCTTTCTGCAGTCCTACTTTAGGTTTGAATTACTTGTAACATTGTTAAAGTGTCTAATAACTTTGCAATTGATTAAAAGCTGAAGAATTGTAATTCTAGTAATGTAGAGTTATTGCATGCTGTTGCTTTTTTGTTATTTTTTTCCAAGCATGCTACCAATTTATAGGACCACACAGCACATTGGCAAAGTAAGTTGATACTCTGTGAAGTAGTCTAGAGAATAAAATTGCAATAAAGTGGTGTAAAATAGATAGGATCAAACTTCTAGCTTTCCTACATGTTTTGGGCATTTATACTTCAGGCTTAAATCTCTCAAGCCTTGGGCTCTCTAAATTTAACTTCTTTGATATAGATAAATTCAACTGAGCAGTGTGTTCCATGTGTCTGTCATGTCTGTGGTGGCTGTGCATGTTGCTTGTAAGAGCACAATATTCCTGACAATTGTGTCTGTAACATGGAGGCATTATGTCTTTAACTCACAATATTTCAGTGCTAGTTTGCTGCATTTCGAATTACATTAAATTCTTCTTGCTCCAGGTTGATTGCAGTTTGCTATATTTTTTGCAAGTAAATTGGCTGTCTCTGGTTCTAAATTTTAATTTTTAATTTCCAATATATACTTGAGCAAAATCTGCCAATTAAGAAAGTTGGCAGAATATATTTGATGTGCTTGAAGTAAACTTGAATATTTAATTTTCCATGAACGACAACTAGGGTTTGCAGGGTCTGACATTTGTTGGAAATACCTGAAGTAATTATCATCTTTTTCTTGGCATAATTGCTGGCTTTATTCATTATTTCAACCATTGATGCAGGACTACAAAACAAATGCTTTCAGGGAGGCATATTTACAATGTTCAAATGCTATACAGAACATGGAAAAGGAACTGAGAGCAGCTTGTCATGCTTCTGATGCCAAAGTAGAAAATGTTCTTAAGGTAAGTTATTGTTAATCTTCTCTTCTATTAGGCGCTTTTATTTTTATTTTATTTTATATTTGAGGAAACAATAGCAGCAACAATGATGACAAATTTTATTACCACTCTCTTTCAACTAAGAGAACTTAAGGAGATCTCTATGTCTTGTTTTATTTCAATTTTTTTTTTTTGGGTTTGAAAGTATAGTACCTAGAATGCGAAGTTGAAATTATGTTATTATTGTCGGTAATCAGATAATTGTTTTTCAAGCCATTGATACTAAATTTGGAATACAATTTTTAGAGCTCCTAAAAGTTTCAAACATTTTCTCAAGGGGGAAAAATGATATCAACAGAGTTTTGTTTCTATCTATGAACACCTGAATATAAAATTGTTCCTTTGGAGTTGCATGAAGAAACTTCAATGTTTTAGTCCTTTAGATAGGAGTATTATGTTTGCTGTTAAGTATAAAATGTATAATTCAAAATAGGCCATAAACTAAGCCTGGAATTTTGAATTTTTTTTTTCCTTTGTAATTTGAAGTATTAAATATGTCAATAACATTTTTGGTTTCAGAAATAGAATGGACATTAGCATATAAAATCAGATTGGTACTATGAGTTATAATATTGGCATTGATCAGATATATTTTCTAATATTCCTTCCAGTGGAAGATTGACCCTTAAACTAGATTCAAAATGAGCTCAAACTGAATGTTTTGCACAATATAAACTGTAAATTATGACCAATAATATTTTGATAAATATTGCATGTTCAAGAACATAAAAAATTAGAATCTCTTTCGAACTAGTCACAAGGGATTGTTTATCAACATCTGCAATATTTTCCTTACTGGTCCTTGATATTAGTTTACTGTTTGCTAAGAATCATCCGTTTGTTAATTGATCCTTGGTTGAACATTTATTTGGCACAGTATAGTGATTTGAAGAGTTTGTCAAAGGTCTGATTTGCAATATTGTTACATCCGTTTCTTAATTGATCCTTGGTTTAACATTTATTTGGCACAGTATAGTGATTTGAAGAGTTTGCCAAGGTCTGATTTGCATTTTTTTTAACTTTGTTGTGCAGATTCTTGATGATCTTGTGACAAATTATGAGTCCTCATATCATGGCCCAGACAAATGGCGGAAGCTTACTGCATTTTTAAGACAAAGGTTTGTATCAATGTATGTTAATTGGGGAGGAAGTTTAGATTCAGAAATCATAATATGCATTTATCAATATCTGCAGTTTGGAAGGTCCAGTTAATGATCTCATCAAGAAGCAAATAGATCAAATTGGATCAGAGAAGAGTTCCCTCATGTTGAAGTGCTGTTCAATTGAAGATAAGATGAGCTTGCTCAACAAGCAGTTGGAAGCTAGTGAAAAGTATAAATCTGAATATTTGAAGCGTTATGAGGATGCTATTAATGACAAGAAGAAGCTAGCTGATGATTACATGAGCCGAATAACAAATTTGCAGAGTAAAAATAGTTCACTGGAAGAAAGATGTTCAAGCTTATCGAAAACATTAGATGTTGCCAAACAGGATTCCACAGATTGGAAAAGAAAATATGAACAGATTTTATCAAAGCAGAAAGCTGAGGAAGACCAGGCAAGTTCAGAAATTGCAATTCTTAAGTCTAGGAGCAGTGCTGCTGAAGCAAGGTTGGCTGCTGCCAGGGAACAAGCTCAATCAGCTCAAGAGGAGGCAGAGGAGTGGAAACGAAAGTATGATATTGCTGTTAGGGAAGCAAAAGCTGCTCTTGAGAAGGCAGCAGCTGTTCAAGAGCGGACAAATAAGCAAACTCAACTGAGAGAAGATGCTTTGAGAGCAGAATTTTCTAGCAGCTTGGCTGAAAAGGTGAATCCCCCTCCCCACATTTCTTACATAGTTAAGCCTTGCTAGTAAACCTTTGTAGCCCTCCAAGATTGCAACCTTTTTGTTTGTTTAAAGCGTTTCTTTGACTGATGAAATGCAGGAAGAGGAAATAAAGAACAAGGCTGCAAAGATCGAGCATGCTGAGCAGCGTTTGACAACTTTGAATTTGGAATTGAAGGTAAGATTCAAAGGCTTTTATGTTATCTAGAATAATTGGTTGCATATTGCACATGTTTGTCATATTTTCACAGATGGAGTTAGGGATATGATGCAATTAAAGACTTGACAGTTCCCTATGAACTTTTATCTGCTAGCTTGGAGATAAGGTTTGACATTTGGATATGCTTAGTCATATTTATACTTCAATTTTGAATATGCTTTGCATACTGAGTATTGGAAAACTAAGAACTGTTGTAATATTAGCACTTCTATTTGGCGGTGATGGTACGATTGATTTTCATTGTGTTTGTTAAACTTATTGAAACCTTGCAATGGCAAGTGCTCATTTTACAAGTGTGACTTTCCCTTCTTCCTTCTCTCTCCCTTTCTTTTTCTTTTATTTTTTTAAGTTCAAAAACCCTCTTCTTTTTTTTTTTTTTTTTTTTTTGTTTTTTTGTTTTTTTGGAGGGGGGTTGGTGGAAATGCTGCATTGGCCATTAACTCCTGCAAACCCCACTAGGAAGCATGTTGTGGGTAAGGGGTGGAACTGACCAACAGGCCTGGGTCAGATAAGGACCTCCCTGCTTGTGCGCACCAAGAGGATGGGGGATGGTGGCAAGTTTGCTGTGGATGGCTGTTGAGCATTTGAGCTGGGGAGTAATGTTAGGGGTTGGGGCTAGTTTTCAACGTGAACGATTTCTTACTGCCCTTGAGAGCATATTGTGGGTCAAGGGTGGAACTGGGTGGATGTCTGGAGTCTTGACTACTTGTAGCTTTTTGTGGGTAGAACTGCTAGCTTAATCCCTGCCAATTCTAAGATTTCTAGAACAATAATTGAAATTACCCACAAATGAGTGGTTCACAGTTATCTATATTTTTATATAAATTTGATTAATATAAAGATACGTACTAAATGAAAGAAAGCTGCTGCTAGATTGAGATATTTGGCTTTTAAACCCAACCCAAGGAAAGTGGTTTCTTATGGATCTATTGCATAAACATAATCATGCATTTTTGTTATGGTGATCTGGTAAGCATAAATGTTGTAAGAAAAACTGTTGGTAGCTCAAGCTACTTAGCCTTAAAATTTATAAATTGTGCATATCCTTGTCCTAGCAATACTTACATTTTGAAGAAGGTTGATTAACAATTTTACTTTGTCATCCTACAGGCTGCTGAATCAAAGATAAAGAGCTATGATCTAGAAATCTCAAGCTTGAAGCTCCAAATCAAGGAGTTAGGTGAGAAGTTAGAAGGTACAAATGCTAGTGCTCAATCATTTGAAAGAGAAGCCAGGATACTTGAACAGGAGAAACTTCATTTGGAGCAAAAATACCGATCCGAGTTCAATCGTTTTGAGGAAGTCCAAGAGAGGTGCAGAACTGCCGAGAGAGAAGCCAAAAGGGCAGTCGAGTTGGCTGATCAAGCACGAGCTGAGGCAGCTTCTGCTCAGAAGGAAAAGAATGAGATTCAGCGCCTATCAATGGAAAGGCTGGCCCAAATTGAGAGGGCTGAGAGACATATCGAAAGTTTAGAGCGGCAGAAAAATGATCTGGCAAATGAAGCTGAGAGGTACCGTGCAGCTGAGATGGATGCTGTAGCCAAAGTTTCAATGCTGGAGGCAAGGGTTGAAGAAAGGGAGAAAGAAATAGAGTCACTCCTAAAATCTAACAACGAACAGAGGGCTAATACAGTTCAAGTCCTTGAGAGTCTCTTGGAGACTGAAAGGGCAGCACGAGCAGAAGCAAACAACAGGGCAGAAGCTCTATCTGTGCAGTTGCAAGCCACACAAGGGAAACTTGATGCACTACAGCAAAAGTTGACTGAAGTTCGTCTTAATGAAACAGCTTTGGATAGTAAGTTGAAAACTGCTTCTCATGGAAAACGAGCAAGGATAGATGACTATGATGTTGGAATTGAGTCTATTCAGGATATGGATGTCAATGACAAAGCAAATAGAAACAAGAGGTCCCGGAGTACAACTAGCCCCTTGAAGTTCACTCAGGCTGAAGATGGAGGTTCAGTGTTCAGGGGCGAAGATGATAATAATAGTCAACAAACTAATACAGAAGATTACACGAAGTTTACTGTTCAGAGACTTAAGCAAGAACTCACAAAGCATAATTTTGGTGCAGAGCTCCTTCAGCTGAAGAATCCTAACAAGAAAGACATTCTCTCTCTATATGAGAAATGTATCTTACAGAAGTCATAAATATTCCAAATTGTTACTTTTATAGGGAGGCTGAATGTATCTCTCAAGGATTTGATTTACTGCCAACTTATGGAGGCTGAGTATGAAATCCCAGCATGGGTTATTTCTGAAGTCATCAGGATTAGTACAGAGATCTCACATATTGTAAAAAAATGGTTTCCTGCCACTAACATTAAAGATTTTCTTAGGTGATGTATTTTGGGTTTTGGTTTCTGCTTTTAAGGGGATGTGTTGCTGGTTTGAGTATTTATTTGTAGAATCATACTGTTGACATATTCATTTTTACTCGTGTGATTACTGGTGTGTCATGTGTCCTAACTGCATGTATGCCTGGACCTGGGGGCAGACAAGTTTTCTGTGGCATTGCTATGAATATATCTAGTGTCCAGAATCTAATATCAATTACATGTTCATTGTTATGAAATCTCATAACGCTTGTTGAAATGCAGGCGGATGGGAAGGAAGGCTCCACGAAAATAATTTAGAAGAATTACATAATAGCGTACCATAGCTTTGCCCATAATATTATTCCGGTGGAACTTTTGAGGCGCTTACTCTCGTGTGAATACTTATCAGGCGTAGGTTGCTTGCGTGAACTGTTCTACTCTTCCCAGTGATTGTTATATTCTTTGTCAAAAGTCCATCTCCCAGGAGGAGCCTTTTTTAAGGTTATAGTTGACAATGGGGATTATGACTATTAAGATTTTAGGGTAATTTGTATTTTTGGAATTTTAAAGATTTGTTAATTCAGAGAATATCAAGGCTTAAGAAAAGTCTCAATCAAAGCCTTCCTCAAAACTTCCAAATCGGAAGATTTGATATTTTAATTCCTTTTTCTTCCTTTCAACAAACAGAATTCTTCAGTTTTTAAATTGCAAGATCTTTAAATTCTGAAATTTTGAAATTTTCTTAGTTCTAAAATTTCACATGAGCATTTGTAATACCTTATTTCAAGTTTGCAAGAGAGTTGGTAGAATTCTTGAAGCCTTCGACTTCCCATTGCTCTGACCAATATATGTCGATTCATTATAAAATCTTGCCATCTCATTGATCTTGGATTATAGTCCTAGGCATCTTTTTCAACTCTCTATCCTTGAAAAGACCTTTCTCCGAGTTTCCATCAACATTGGGCTTTTTCCATGCTTAGTTAAAGCCGGATTGTATTACAAAAGGCAAAATTCCTTCCTTTTCTAAACCCAAGAGGAAGAAAAAGAAGAGGACAAAAAATTAAAGGGAAGATAATGTATGGTTGCTTGAACAATACTTGGTGAACTCAATGGGTTGAAATGAATGTTGCTGAAATTTTCTGTACATGTCAACAAAGAGCAGGTGTTTCTACTACTTTCTGCTCGTATCATTTTCCATGAGTTTTGGGCCCAACATTTTCAATTGTGCAAGGAATAACTGGATAAACTAAAAAAAAATACCAACCTATGAATGGCCAAAATGCCTCAAGTTATAGTCCTTTCATTATTTGATTGACAATATATATTGGGTTGACTTCAATTTAAATTCTTATCACTTAATATTCTATACAAAATATGAACTCCTTACTTGATATCTTATACACATAACGAACTCCAATATTAGTTATATTTATGTCATTACTCATGTTACATATAAACCTATCCTATTTATTCAAATACTATAAAGTAGAACAAACTTAATATTTTGTCAATTAAAAAAATAAAAGACGCTGTGTTATCTTAAAATCATATTATAGTACTTTATAATTTGATATGATATATTACAATATTTTTTAATGGAAATACAACTAATATAATAACATAAAATTTTAACACAATCTTAATATGAAGAAAAAGTAAGATAACATGTTAACATTACAAGATAAAATTTCACCGCAGCTATAAAAATGTATGAAAACTCAAATTTTACATACTGCTAGCAACGAGTGTATGGATTCCATAGTAAATTGCGCCCTAGTTTAATAAAAGGCTGCCTCATATTTCAAATATTTTGAAACTGGAACTTATAAGGGCAAACCTAAAAGGCTAAAACTGATCTAATCAGCTCCACGTTGATTTTTTACCCAGGACGCTTTAGCTGATCACGTTCTATTTTTAGGTTTCAAAACATGAATGTTATTCATTAACTTTAGTTTTCTTTAATGTTGTCCAACTTTTTGTTTGCTTCTAATTTATTATAAAAATTAATGAACTTCAAGGTTTTTAAATATTTTAAATTTTAGTTAAATGGGTAGAAATAATAAGAACTAATATATAAAAATACTAATATAAACTGCTGAATTCAAGATAGTTTCATGAAAACCATTTCACCAGCATTGTTGGGACTTCAACCCGGGGGAGGGGGGTTTGTAATACCCAAAATTTTTTTGGGGTAATATTAGAATTTGAAAACTTATGAAGGGGTCGTTTGAAAGAAAAAGGAGACTGTGGGGTCTAATTAGATTAATAAGGATCTAACTGAATCAATTAAAGAACTTGTCGGGACAAAATTGAGAAGGTCTAGAACTGAGAGACTAAATCACATTGAACAAAATTTTTGGGGACCAAATTGCAATAAGTCAAAAATTAGATTCTGATCATCTACAACTAGAATCACATGGACATGGATGCCTAAAATTCGAGCAAATCACTTATGATTTGCTCGAGATTTGATTGAATATAGGTGTGAGTGTGATGAGTGAGGAAAAATCCCAAACCAATTTAAGTAATTTGCTTCACAAAATTTGAAATTTCTCAGTCTCGCTCTGCCATAGTCAACAGAAAGAAAAGCTAGAATTTTAGTGCCACGCCCTAACTCGGGAGTGCAACTGGCACTAGGGTTGGCGTACCAACCCTAGTAAGTTTCCAACCAGAACGGATCAGATAAAGTATCTCATCATAAAAAAATAGTTAATATATATAACAAAACACATCTAAGTTGTACATGAAGCTTTTAGAGTACAAAAAGAAAATATACAGAAAGTGCCCGTATAATTAGGTTAGTGCAGTGGTGACGAAACTGTCGCTGGAGTTACCATTGTCAATCGAAACTGAAATCTGGAAAGTAGGGGAAAAGGGATGAGTATAAAACTCTGTGAATAACAATACTATTCTAAACATGCCAGAACATGAATCGTAACCATTCAAAACACAAATATCACCTTAAATAATAACTTAGTTTATGGAAATCACATTTGCCTCAGGTAATGTGTATGTTTCATACATGCATAGTCAAAATCAGAAAATCAAATGTCTGTCAGAGCATTAAAACATATCACATGTTAGAACCAGAATTAGATATCACACATCATACCAGGATCCCGTACTAGAATTATAATCACATATATCACATCATTGGGTCCAGGGCTCTCCCTGCACGCTATGGCGACCCATCGTCCGTCGGCTAAGCCCCTAACATCCTATATTAGAACCAAAATCACATGTATCACATCATTGGGTCAGGGCACTCCCCGCACGCTACGGCGACCCACCATCCATTGGCTGAGCCTTTGGCATCCTGTACAAAACCAGAAAACCAGAATCACATAAACTCCTAACAGGTTAACTTTTAAAAATGCACGTATTATTGAGGCAGGAATGTAGGTAATTACATAAATGTTTTCAAGCTTATCGTAATTTAAAACAAATAGAAACATGTCCTAGAATTTAATACCATAATTCAGAAATTAGAACCAGAACTAACAGAAAACCAAAGTGCGGACACATGTATAGAGGGTACTATTACTCACCAGTCACGTCAAAACTAATATCCAAAAACTTTGACAGACCGCTCATTGGCCCAAGCGTGCTTACTCAGATGTATTTACAATCGCCAAGACAAAGGTTAGAACTGAAATTAAATTTACTCCAAAAAAACTCACTCATTGGAAGTGGCCCAAAACCTTCTCCCATATCCGAGCTCTTAACACGTATTCTGAGGCACCATTACCCCACATCAAGACCCACATGACTTACGAACATTAATTAATTTTACTCAACCAACCCCAGCAATAATGAATTAGCCTCCACAACCCTCGAACTATAATGAACCGACCCTCAAACCCCCCGAACCAACCTAAACCTGTCTAAAACTATACCAAGCCAAACTAAACCAACCACGAAACCTTCAAAATCGAATTTAGAAGACCCAAAAACTCCAGAAAACTGGACTAAACCAGCCGAAAACCCCCTAAACTGGCCCTGAATCAGGCCAAGGACCATAATCCTAAGTATCAACACATTGAACCAAGCCCGATTTACCCTGAACCAAACACCCAAACATCACCAAATTACATGGTTAGCTAGGTTTCATCATGTTGTACCAGGAACCGATTTAACCTTCCCAAGAACTAGCCTAAAACCTGGTAAATCAGCCGCCTAAAGGTGCTACACTAAACCAGCAGGTTCCCCTGAACCGGCCACCCAAGATTTTTCAAAACCACCTAGTCTGATAACCCTCATCCTCCAAAACTAGGAAGCGGTCCACTCACCCAAAGAACTAGTCTAAAAAGCCTTAAACCAGCCAGTCAACACTGGCCGGTTCACACTACCCAGACAGCTTAAACCTCCTTTTTTTTTCCACTGGGTCGAGTTGGCCCAACGAGTCGACTCAGCCCAACCATTGTCTGGGCCGGCCCACAACTCAGGGCCGCGGGCCTGCAACGCCTCTGGGTTGAGTCTGGGCCCAACAACCCGAACTGACCCTATACAGGACCTGGACACATCTGAGTCCCTTCTTCTTCACCTAGCGGGGCAAAATTTGACCTGAATCCCCTACAACACCTGAAACCCAAAAATCCCAAAATTGACTAGAAATTCAAGCTTGCTTAGAAGATTCAAGGCCTTTAAAGAAAAATTTTGTGGTCCTCGAGCTTCTTAACAGCCTTTAATCAGAGAAATTTCAACCAAAACACCAAAAATTTTCAGAAAAACTCGTTCGGTGTTGTTGGCCTTCCCCAGCTCCCTTTCTCCCTCTCTCTCGCTTAAACTCTCAAATTGAACACACACCGAGGCTCGCCTCTCATCCTCGCACAT